AAATTTTCACTGAAAGTGAAAAATTCGAAATTTTTGAAAAAGTATCAGGGTAACATGACCATCGAGAAAGTATTCACTGAAATTTTCACTGCAATTGAAAAATTCGAAATTTTTTAAAAAGTATCAGGGGAACATGAACATCGAGGAGCTATTCACTGAAATTTTCACTGAAAATGAAAAATTCGAAATTTTTAAAAAAGTATCAGGGTAACATGACCATCGAGAAAGTATTCACTGAAATTGAAAAATTCGAAATTTTTGAAAAAGTATCGGGGGAACATGACAATCGAGGAGCTATTCACTGAAATTTGAAAATTCGAAATTTTCGAAAAAGTATCAGGGGAACATGAAAATCGAGAAGCTATTCCGTTTTTAAACAATATTTCGATTGACTTACCATTTACAGAAGAAAAAATTGGAATTATTTTGAAAAAAAAAATGAATGATGGCGGAATTGAACTTGGGTTATCCGCGTGGTAGTCAAGCACGTTGCCAATTTGACAACGCGCTCATTATTTAAATATAGTATCATTAGGAGTATATCTTCAATATATCAAATAATTGTTTTCATTTGAAATTCCACAAGATGTGGCTTCCCCTTTCCGCTCGTTCTACAGTCGACTAAATTTCAGGTAAATAAATAAAAAACAAAAAGCATTCATGCCGCAGAAAATAAAATTCACCCCGTCGACTTGATGGACATCCCAGCATTGCGTGTGGCGCCCTCCCTCTCATTTGATTGATGATTCATGATTCTCATTTGTTTACACAGATGGCGCTGAACGTCCTTTTAATTGACAATAAATTAACAATGTTTGTATACAAACTCCACTGGGCTTATTCGATTTTTAATGATTTGATATTGTTCGAATTGGAGCACTTAAATAGAATAATGATCGAAAAAGGCACGAGCCGATTCAGAATTCGAGGATGTTACTACCAATTTTAATACCTGCAGCAGTAATAAACAAAATGAAACTTCTTATGCCTTATGAAATGATTTTTAAATTGTGATTGACATTGAAAAATTATTGAAAAAAGTGTTACAAAGAACTAGTAGCGCATCTGAAACCGAGATTGCCAGCGGAAGTGTCTGGAGTGTTTTGGCTCCTAGCAGCGCATCTGTACCTGAAGCAGTAGCTCTCATGGCAGAGGTAAGATCCTCCTTTCTTGACCTTGTCGCTGCCTGAGGAAGGTCCAACCTGTTGAAAATTCATTGTCACTCCCTTCCAATCATCATTTGCTGATGAAAATTATATCAACTCACAGGATTGTTTGATTGGTCTTTGGAGTGTCTCGTGTTCCACCAGTCCGATGTCCATTCCCAGACGTTTCCAGCCATGTTATGAAGCCCATAGCCATTGCTTGGGTATTCATTGATTGGAGCCGTTCCCTTATAGCCATCCTCAGCTGTATTGTTGTGTGGGAATTCCCCTTGCCAAATATTGATTCTGCAATAATAAGATTTCACAACCAGTGAATTTATGGACATTTATTTGTTGAGGGGACGAAAAATTCCTGCATATTAACCTGACAGCATTACCTATGCTTGTGATTCGGCATAAGTTTATTGCCCCAGGGGTAGAGCCGCTCATTAAGTCCACCCCTGCAGGCTACTTCCCATTCTGCTTCGGTCGGCAGCCTTTTACCTGCCCATTTGCAGAATGCTGATGCATCATTCCACGATACGTGAATTACTGGGTGATCCATTCTATCTAAAATTGAAATAGAAGCATTCAGTATTTCCTACCATGGGCCAATTCTCTTGAGCGACAATTCGATGAAGAATAATGCAATGCATATCATATATTTTTTTTTTTTCAAACAGAGAAAAGGTACAGCAAAATATCTTTAAACCAAAAAAGTAATATATTGTCTAATAGAATTTTCATGAAATTTCTTGTTGAATCCACTTGTATCGCCGTTGAATTGTTTTATATGCGACTGATATATTGCGTGATAGTCTAGCGAAATGAGCGAAAATTTAATTGATAAAATGGAATATGAAAAGATGTAAAGTATTTAACACCTTGAATAGTGGAATCGACTCCCTCGGGATGTCTCCAGTCGGCCTTAACAACCGGCAGCCACCAAGGAGCCTGAGCCACAGCCTCCGCAATCCCCTCCTTCACCCCTTCGCTCAGCAATCCTTCAAACACGAAGGAGTTTCCAAACTTTTCAGCTTCAGTCCTATATCCCGTCGCCTCAACGAAAATTTCAAAGTTCCTATTACTAACTTCATATTTGTCCATGTAGAAGTTATCCAGAACTACCCGCCTTTTCGGTCCCTCTCCATCGACCACAAGAATTGGGTTATCAGTTCCTATCGAATAAACTCCACCTTCAATCAGAATCATTTCATTGGGAAGAGCGTCAAGTACAGAGTCTCCCTTATATTTTTCATTCCTTTTGTCAACTGGTACACTTCCGGAATCAGGACAATTTTCATTATCAATAAAATTATTCCCATTTGCTTCCCTGTTTAATCTTCTTCCACACGTGCAGTCATCATTATCACCTCTGACGCGTAGAAAAATGCAGGAAAACATCACCATTAATTGTAACAACTTGTTTATCAACCTCATGGTTAACGCGCATTGAAAACTTCAGCCAAATATGAAAATTAGCGGCTACGCTCGAATGATTAGACAGAGTTATGGAGAAAAGTAGGGTGCTTATGTTGTGTTTGATCTGAGTTTCGATTGATCGGTTCCAAGACGGTCGCCACACTGTGCGCGAGCTCTTGATTAAGCTATTGACCCTGAGATCTGAGAGAAATCCTTACATTGCTAGATTTATCCGCAGCACCTGCAACATGAATGCAATTATCAATGAAATGACGGAGACATAATTCTTGACTGAGAGCGCATGCAATGAGTCTCCCGCTCGAATTCAAAGAAAAGAAAAAAAAGATAACGCGCCGTGCTGAACGTTCCAATGTTTCGAAATCAATTGACAACCGAGTCAACCATTCAATGTGACAGCTGTAAAGTAGTATCTTAACAGTGATTAAGCATGATGGTATAATGGTAGGAACGATAACGTCTTACGATGTGAATCTTTTCAACAGCACATATGATAATATTCGATTGACCGCTGATAAGATTTGGGAGTACAATCACGAGGACACTTATCGCAAGCTAAATCGCTCCCTGTGGATAAAGGTGAGCTTATCCGTATGATGGAACTCGGTAAATTGAAAATCTCCCAATCCTCAGATTTCCAAATTATCCCGAAATCAAAATAGAAGAAGACAGCTGGTATCAGACGTTATCCCGGAGTCACGATTATCGAAATATGGAAATTATCGTTACGATGATGAGAGAGAATGCCTGTACGTCAGAGATGTGGAGAGGTCAGTCAGTGAGGAAGCCAGCTCCAGCAGTTATGACCTATCAAAAGAACCCTGGTTGCACCCTGATGTCAAGGAGTACTTCACCCGGTTGAAGTCCAAAGCCTTGCCATCGTCAGAGGTATTATTATATTTCCTTAACCATCAATTTCTCTTGTTTTACTGGTAAAATCCAGAGTTTGAGAAACTGGTGTAGGCATTGTCAGACGATTCATCGAGTAATTCAGGGTGTATCGATGAGGAGTACAAGAAACACTGTCGTCTACCCTACACCATCAATAGTGTTGGTGAATTGCAACTCAAGCTTCGTATATCCAGTGATAAAGTAATCGACCTCTGGAGAAAACATAGCACAGAAGAATTGATCAGTTATGGGAATAATAGAGAGCAACGAACGGAACAGACCTACCATCCAAAGCAAAGGGGTATAGGAAGCCAAGTATTGTGCAATGTAGAGACTCACACAATCGTTATATCGAAAAATCGATATAGGGAGAGGGATTGCAAATGTAGTGCAAAAGCGTCTGTGCCCCCTGTGCCAATTCTAAGTGCTGAAGTACCAGAATTTTTCCCCAAGGGACCACGCCTGGAGGCGCAATATGAGTCTGTTCCACTCCAGTATTTTCCATCCATACCGGAGAGAATTTACAATCGAGCACCGTTGCCAAATGTCAGCGCAATATTCCAAGTAATTTATCATGCTTCAATCATTTTTCACAAACCTCACTAGGTTGCGTATGGGTCTTTTTAAATCATTGGAGTCGCTTCAATATTTATTCTTGGCTTCTTGCGTCATGATCCATGAATCTGCCTGCAATAATTGTTGCCGTATAAATAGACTTGTACATCTAGGCAATTTGTGCGCAAAAGACTCGGTATAATATGAAAATATCTGAATTTTAGAATCCTGCTATTCCATTACTGGCAACCCCTATTATGACGCCACTGATCAGATCACCACAATGGCTACCAAGGATAGCTCCACCTCTGCAAATTCAAGTGCCCATGTGCACACTGGCCCCGCAGACCTTCACCACCGTCCAATCAATCTGCCCTATCATTAATCGTCCAATTCAACTCCATGAGAAGATTATACAACCCAATCCATTGAATTCATCACCAATGCCAGTTTATCAGCGACCTTTAGAGTACTTTCCGGAGAGCAGGAGGAAGAGTCAGAGGGTTGATTTTAAGAATTTGATACTCCTGACAAAGAGTGGAATGAAGGCCAGACGCAATCAATCAAATCACTCCAACTCTTGTAATCCATCATTGGAGCCGGGTAGAAATAATTTGGCAACTGATAATCCCCTGCAGTTTGCCGACAGGCGGATTTATCCGAACCAACCGAAACACTTCATTACTTCAACTTCTGCGACACCAGATTTGCAAAATTCCGAGTGTCTGTTAGATGTCATAAATGTTTGCGAATCTAACTCCCTGGAGGTAGATAATGACGATTAAACATTAATGGGCCTCGGACGCTGTCATTGTGCAAAATATAACTCCGTTATCTTCTCTGATTATAATATTTGTCGCCGATATTTGCTCAAGAGTAGATGAGTAAAAACCGGTTCTGCGGGAATAAACGTGATGAATGCTTTAATTGAACGGGATGTAGATGCGAGAGGGGAAAAAAATGCCTGAATCTACATTTATACAGTGTTTCTCGTCTATGCGTGACGGCTACAGGGGGAAAAAAAATATATATGAAAGATAAACATAGAGTCACGACAAGCCTGGACTGATTTTGTTTGAATATGCGTGCAGAAAGGGCGAGGAAGTAGGGGGATTTCATATGACTCCAGGTCTCTCTGGCACATTGTGGCAACGTCGCGACAGATTGAGTTCAGGCAGTACGTACCGGTTGCTAGGCAACCGGCCCAAGTCTGGGGAGGTCAGCATACGAGCCACAGCCAAGTCTCGAGTATTATATATAGAGAAAACGAGGATGGCTGTGCGGTAGAGCGGTGGCATCGGTATACATATACAAAATCCCACAGCCAACAGCAGAGAAGGGGCACCGAGAATCGTGCTTGACTCGACTGAAATATATATTGCGCTGCCTGCTACATAGTAAAAATAGATGAAACTCGTGGGGGCTTATTCAGTACAGACTTTCCGCAATGGATTCTTCTCTTTTTTACTGAAAACCAAAATCAAGGACATTTTGCTTGACACTGTCGCTTCAATCACATCTATTCCGACAAATAGGTCAGTTAGTAATATCATAATCGTAATCATATCTTTTTCTACTGACACGTTATGAGAGTCCAGTAGTGTGGATAGTTTATCAAGTATTCTCTATTATTATTGAAAACAAGTTTGGAGTTCTTTTTTTTTATAGACTCCATCATTCTATCGCTGTTTAGTTCATTTGAAATTCATATTGCGCTGATATAACGATATGTTCTGCCATTATGCATTCATCCAGAGGATAAATGTCGGACGAACATGGCAATTGCATGGAGAATTTAAAAATAGTAGTTTTGAATGACTTAAGTGGGTGAAACTGAGTTGATTGATAATGATAGCTATTGAATTATGCGGCGGAACTGCGAGGGGTCAAATACTGCTTATTCAGGGCGTCAGGGAGTGGGTTTTTCCCCCCAGCTGCTACGTTGCCAAGTCGCATTGCACACTCAATGACGTCATCGTAAAACTGAAACCTAATGCGGCGAGCATTAATGGCGACCGCCCAACCGTTATGCCGGAGTTCATGGGGGAGTCATAAATTGCCTGTTCCCACTTTCAAGTCATAAAAAAACCTTCCAAGCATCAAATAAAATATACGATTGGTAGTGCTTGCCATCGATGAATTTCTGTCGATCAATTCTCATAGATGCTTTTACTATGAAAAGAAAAAAAAACATACACACATAAATGCGTCGTAATATTCTTTGCATTCATCATATGCAAAAAAAAAAAAGAACGTAATCGTAATTGGAAATAAATAGCATTATTCAATCCCAGCTGGATTAACAAAGTACCAAATAGATAAAGAAGTCATGAGCATTGTTTGGAACATATGCATATGAAATTTCATGATTCATTGGTAAAATAATGGATAACAGCTAGAACGAAAATATCCGTAAAACGAGTTGACAAAAAAATGAGTATACAGAGAAGAAAAAAAAAAGACACAGACAAGTAGGAATTAGAGTTGCGTGCCCCGGAAAGGAAGGAGAAGAAGAAGTTATTACTGTCAGGGAATAATACGTTGTAGAGGTATGATTTTTTTGTATGTCTGTTGTCAGAGATCCCTGTCAATGTTGAGTTACACCATCGCATAGTAATTCCTGGAAGTTTTGTCCAGAACTACTCCCCCACTCGAGAGTTCTAGCTTCTAAATTCTCCAACCTCAATTGTCCCTCTTCCCCCACGCGTCATCTGCACATCTACAACTTCCATGAAACGATTACCTGGCCCTGGAAGTGGTAGTTAGGGGAGTAATGGTGGAACAGAATACTTTGTCTGGATCGATACGTGAGATTGAAAGTTGGTAAATTCCAGCCCAAAGCCATTAAGCTGCTAGGAGCTATAGCTTTTCCACGTAGATATACAGCATAATTGTAGAGTGGAATTGATAAGTTGAAGCGCAGAGGGAGTTGGGGGGGGGGGATTGGGAAATGGATAAAAAAATAGAGAGCCCCACCCATAGAGTAGTGGTGTGGCTTTCCAGGCATTATACAGCTCCTACTTCCGCCAAGTAGTGGGGGAAAAAGAAAAAACTTTCCATTCGGGCTCATGAAGCCCATGACCCGAAGCTTTTACGATCAATATGACACCGGACCCTCTTCGCCATTCGGCTCTTTCCGGTGAATTCCGTCAAGCTCGAAAACTACTATATCCATTGTTATTCACCTCCCAACACAATAGCATGACCATTCCGCAGGGGAACAATATCCATAAAGGAAACCGACTTGGCTGTTATGACTCATCAAGTTCTGACAAGATGGCGCGTTAATTATGGTGATATTTGCGCAGTTGGTGCATTAAAATTCATGGTATTACAGGAATACTAATATGAAACGCCTAGATTTCATGCAGAAGAGACTGGAGAAAGCAGACAATTGTGAAAGTTGGGAGACTATAGAAATGCCCCTTGCTAATATATGTATACAATAACGGTGAAATTCTGTAGTTTGAGATTGGGTCAGTATTCCAATGCCTATAGTTCAAAATGGTTTTCCATGATGAATAAATGGTTAGATTTGTATGGCAATTGGACAGCTGTATTTTCCAAATGCCTATTTATGCTGACTGATAGGTAGAATTGAGTTCTTTGGTGGGGGGAGATGGTAGAGTACTTTTTCATGTTATTTGTTATGTGCGCATGTTCGGGGGGTGAGTGGTGAATTGCCATTGGCTCCCCACTCTCCTACCAATGGTTGCAGTGTGCTATGTTCTTGAGAATTAAATTGGCGCTATGTGCAGCGAACTCTCCATCTTTCTCATTAATTCTCCTACCTCCCCTGGCCGATGTTGCATTGTGTAGTTGTAGAGAAACAATTGCACGGCGAGGGGTTAAGGGTGGGAGAGGGACAAGGGAGATCTGGCAAGGGCCAAATACTAGAAGTAATGCATAGTATGTGAGCACATTTGAAGTAACTATAAACTAGTTTGGAGGCTAGTGAGGGCATTCTCAGAATCAAACAGCTGCGAGAGGAGAGATAGATATTTACTAATGGTAGAGTGGGGGGAAGTACATGGGGCAGTGGGGAGGAAGTGAAGCTCTCACTCTTGCACACTCAAGGCTACCCTGAATATACGGTTTTGGTTTTGCCTGGTGTTCGTTGGCGCACGCTACTAGCCGCGTCCTTAGAACATAACAGAACCTATCTCAAAGCGCCCAGAACCCCCCGGTGGTTCTGTAACACAATTCTACCGTCGTTTCAATCCAGCCGGATAAAGACAAAAAAAAAAAAGAGGAAAAACTTTATACATACGACACCCTCGTTATTTTTAATTCTACGCGCGCAAATTTTCACACCAACTCCGCCATATTGATAACTGTCATCCCCGCGTTTAATCAACTATTGAAATACCAATTCGGTACGATATATTCATCATTGTTTTACACTTAATGCTTTGGACAATTTATTTTTGAGTCATTTTTTATGCTTACATACCATGTGAATTACAATTATGCCAGTGATTTCATGTTGTCATCGTGTTTTTTTCACTATTCAGACTTTTATTCTCCTCATGATTCATCATCAATGAGTGTTTTTATGTGAACAAATGGAAAACCAATTTTTTTTCAAATATCGTCGGAACTGTTTATTTTTTCAACTGCCTATTGACAATTTGTACGGTTGGAATTTTATGCATCACAAAAATTGACAGGGATTCTGATTTTGGCAAGCAATTGTTACATTATCTTGCACCATAACAACACTAAATAAGGCCTGCAAGTAGTTTCCTCCAATACTGTTGACAATGAATGTAAGTATTCAACTCGCTAACAATTGTAGATAAGACTTATCAAATTGCAAAATTGAAGCAGTTAGTGAGACCGTTTGTCACCATCGACAGAAAAAAAAAGATAATCTTTTTCCTACGATTGTTACTTGACAGGTTGGAAATGAACAGTCAACTGGAGCACGATTTTGTTGATGGCTTCGGTTTCACGAGTAACAGTAAAATTCCAGAGGAAGATACTAATACTGGATTACAGATACTCGGTACGTCTTTAATTCAATAGCTATAGCTATCAACAACATTGAAAAACACAAATTAATGGACCCGAGGATACGTAGACTATGTGAAATACAGACCCGGACGTGTCAAACGAAAAATAACGAGAATACGAGAACAGTCACCATTAAAGAGAATTTTCAATTCCCATCACCTCCCACACCGTGATTTCTCCACTCTCAAAGGAAAAACTTGATAAATGTCACAAATACAATAGTTATGAATAAAGGGAAATTCTCACTTATAACCTCGTGTTCATATCGCGTATTTTCTCCTAATCTATGTGAAACGCGGTATCTCCTTAACGCATAACCTCAAAAAAAAAACCCGTCGAAAGCCAACCATTACCCCTCAGTCTTCTCTCCATCATTCTAATGGTGCACATTAAATGTCAGAAGCCAATCATTAACACGTGTCGCCAATTTTCGGCATAAGTAATTTGAACAGGAATAAGTTAATACAGTTTCATTAACAGGAGATATCTAGTATGGCGGGAATTTATTATCAATATTATCTGCATCACACTGTACTGGCAGTATTGGTCGTCTTTCTATCGATTCCAGAGTAATTCGTACGTGAGCGAAAATAATTAGAATTAAGTACTATTTTTATTGAATCAAACTCACCGATGATACACACGAACTCTGATTTTTGTCTTCCTATTGTGTATATGCATATATTATGTACTGTTAAATCAACAAGTTTTCGCGATAATCAAGTCATCGAGATTGTATGTCTTGTAAGAGACTTGATCGACTGGCGGTGCGACGAGCCATATTCAAGTTACAGAGTTGAATATTACCTAAAGTAGTTTCGGTAGATGAACCACAACTTGAGTTAACGAGTGCAACATCCAATTCTTTGTTATGTTTAGACTCATGCTAACCCGGTAATTGTTAGTTATCATACCCCATCAACTCACCGGGTTCTCAATATCTTGGAGTGTAGTGGAATAATTTTTTTATTTCTATGTATTGAATCTATGTGTTTTGGAATAATGGAGTTGAGTTTTTGTTTGATGATTTCAGATAAACAGATTGAGATAGCAAAAGCATTAGAATGTGTACCCGAGGAATTACCCCAGTGTGAAATTTGCGCCCAGAAATTTTTAAGCAAGAAAGAATTACGATCTCATATCACTATCCACCTTGGACAACCGAGAATCATCCTGAAGAGGTGTAATAGTCAGCACAAAAATAGGAAGAAGGAGAAGGATATCTATTCGCTGAATCAGGATAAGAAGGGATCACTCAAATTGACCCTGAAGAAGCAGAAGCACAGTGATTTCACGGTTATAAATAGGGATTTAGATTTTGAGGCAGAGATAACAGAGTCGGAGGTGGCTGACGCGGAGAGGAATGACCAGACGACTGAAGAAGAGATTGAAGAGGAATCAACCAGTGACCGGGATGAAAATGTGATGTTGAGGGATAGACATGAAGATAACGATGATGATAAGTCATCGGATAACAATGACAGGCCATCTGCTGAGGTTAATGAAGGCGACTCTGGAGTAGGTAGCGATATGGCTAATCCATCTGAGAAGGATGATCAGAATGTTGATGATCTAGCTGGAGAGCAGGAAGAGACTGACGAGCAGGAAAAAATTGAAGAGAGTGAGGATCCTGAAGAATCTGATGCTTTGGAAGCCACGTGCAGGGAGACCATCGAAAATTTAAAAAAGTTGGGCGAACAGTCGAGTTCCAGGTCCGTGAGGGACGAGATGTCACCAAGAGATCCGAATCTTGAACCCTCCAACTCTCCAGTGCTTGCAGACGACTCATCGCAAAACGAAACCCCCGAGACAAGTCAAGAGAAGGATGCATCGAATTTCACTTGGATATCCGACAAAGATGATGAAGACTTGACTAAGAATTCGGAACAATCGCTCGATCTGCCAGATCCTTCAGCTCCAGACAGTGCAACCTCCCTCCTTCAGAATTTCCTCCTTGAACACCATCGAAAAAATCAAGGCACCAACGAGGTGATAACCCTACCAGTGGAGACTGAATACGTTTCATTGGAGAGATTAGCTGAAACGGTGAACACGTGTAGAATATGTAACGAGAAATTTCGAGATATCACGCTGCTGGATGAACACAGAGCGAAAGCAGGTCATTATCAGTGCAATATTCCCGATTGTGTGAGTTCAGTATTCAAGACACGATCGGATTTAACAACTCACAAGGTGCAGGCCCACGGGGCTCCCTTATCCCCGAGTATAAGTCTAACTCACATCACAAGATCCTCCCCCCAATTGAGTGAGGGATCGCCTCGGATGAGTCAAAACTCTCCGCATTTGAGTAACCACTCACCCCACGGGCTCAGCATAGAGCCATCAACACAAATCACGAGAACATCTCCACACACCCATTCACCAACATTTGGAGCTGGGGGAACCACCCAAATGATTCCCCCAGTGAATTTCGATCAATTACCTGCACCCGTTCAACAATTGGCGCAGCAAGTTCAGCGTATGCCCCTTCCCCAGGCTCAGATGCCCTCTATGCCCCCAAACGTCAATACGATGATCCCAGGACCGAATTACTACATGCAACCGCCTGGGAGACCACCTCCACCACCCATGTACAGAACATCTGGAGGCCAAGGAATGCAGTACTCCCCTCACGTTGCTGCTTACCTCCAATCTCAGTATGGGCCCTATCAGTCCTATCAGAGTCCCCCAATGCATCCACAGATGCCACAACAAGTGCCACGAGTGAGGTATTCCCCGATGATGCCTGTACCGAGAGGTCCCAGATTAGCTCAGATTCCAGCTCCACCCAGGGTCAGGATCAAGAGACCTGGACCACCTCCACCACCTCAAACGCTTCCTCAGCAGAGGGGCGAACCTCTCAACAAACAGCGGAGGTTGGATGTTCTACTTCCCGATAGGAATGAGGATGCTGATTGTCATGTTATTGTTCAGCAGAAAAGAAACGATGGTTTGCCAGTTATTCAGAATGTTCAGGGGGCCAGCCAACCCACTCCGAGGAATGATTCTACAATTCATTTGACGGACTCTATTACTCTGAGTGTCCGCCAACCTGGTAAGATTTTTTCATTAATGTTCTTTCCTTTTTTCCTATTGTTGGTGCGAATTATAAAGCGAAATATCAATAATATATTTAATATAAATATAAATATTCAGGGTCTTCAACGTCTTCAAATCATCGGGGATTTCAGTGAAACAGAATTCATAAGCTATTTTCATTTTTCTTTTCTTTAATTTCGTCAAGGTCGTTGAATTTTCGTTTTCCATAAATTCGGTGTTGAAATTAGAAAAACCATCGGCAAACACAGGCTCTGTTTTTTTTCTAATAAAAAGGTTCAACTCCAGCTCAACCATCGAATTCACCAATAATCACTGCGAAAAAACCCGACGCCAAGGCAGTTGCCAATGTCTTAGCGGCTCGTGGTATCACGGTGACACCGGCAGCGAACAAAAACAAGGCAAACGATCAGCAAAAATTGGCGCAACAACAACAACAACAACCTCATCATTCCCCGACTCGGGCTGTAGCTCCACCAGCTCCTGTCAATGTTCTCAACCTAAATTCTGCCATTTCGATAATTCCCACGGCGAGAAAACAAACACAACAACCACAGCAAGAGCAAAGCGGACAGTTTGCTGTACCTCAGAATAAACAAACGAAACCTACGAATCAAGAAGTTGAGCGACCACCTAGACCTCCGACTGTCGATCTCACGCAGGATACACCGGCGTCAGAGGCTGCTAGAGTCATTCGAAGGGGGAGACCTCCCAGGTAAAACTACATTCGAAAAAAATTTTCTAAATGTCAATGATATGCCATATTAGTTCAAAGCATGAATAAATATATTTCAACTTATGTTTTTGAATCTCATGAAAATAATGAATGAATCAATTTCTATTTGACAGATCTAGTTTAACGTGTCAAATTTGTGATAAGACTTTCGCAAGCCAAGAAATATTGATGCAACATATGTCATCTCATCGAGGAACGAATAAATTACTGCACAAGTAAGTTCGTGTTGTATGTATATTTAATACTAATGTACATTTAATACTTATGGGAATATTGCTTTCAGATGTAATCTGTGCACAGCGCAATATCCAAATGCCCAGGCCCTAACAGTTCACAAACAAACGTACCACAAAGAGATGGAGCTACAGCCATCAAATGGTGGAACGGAATTGGCTATTCCCGTTGTAGATTTAAAATCCCCACAAGCATTGAATAGATTACAGAGTTTAGGTATTCATAGTTACATCCCATTATCGCAATTGAGTGCTCAAACCGGTGGTTATTTTGGTCTACCGATTATAACAATTGACGGACCAAGGAATCCGAATTCCTGTAACCTAGGTGCACTGGGTGCTACTTCGATATTAAGTCTGGGTCCCCTGAAACACCTGTCGAACAGGTAACTACAATTATTGATGAGAAACATTCATCAATGATATTTCGTTTTACTAGCTTTTTTTGGCATTGCCATGACTGTGTTATTAAATCAATCGTTTATCAGAGAAGATTTTAAATGCCAAACCCGTAAAAAAAAAAGAGATAACAATATATTGAATATTGGAGATGAAAGATATTTATGAATAGAAGAGGAAGGCGGAAAATAATACTAATATGTCAAGGTACAGTGCGATGCAGGTTTGTTCCATTGGTTATTTTAATTGTTTTCTTGGGATTTTTACGGCACGTAAAACGCGCATATAGAATTTTTCCAGCACATAAAATTCCAAGAATAAGTATTTGTTGATAGTGTTCCTCAGAGACAAAATTTTGCAAGTTTTTCAAACCATACAAGTTTCTTTGGGATAATGAATTTATTGTTGAGTTCACTGTTTTGAGTTAATTTTAAGCGATAATAGAGTTTGGCGCTTTAGGATTAACTACAGACTCATCATGAGACATAGAGTAGCAAAAAGTTTGTCCTCTACCTCTCAAATTGAAAGATGATAAATTTTCTGTGACTACTGACGACCAATTGACGCACGAATATTTACATAAAGTTACATATAGCTTTAAATACTGTGTGTCAAGTACTTAAATCTATGTAAACATGATTGTTCGATTAATCAGTGAGAATTACGAGAGAGTTGATGTTTTATCCCTTTTTAATGAGGAAAAATATAATAATTTATTTGTTTTTCTCGTCGTACATTGATAAGAAGTGGCATGAAAGATCTTATGGTGATAAAACCCGTTCAGAACTGATTTTATATATCATTGTTGTATATATTGTATAATAATAATTTTTAAGAATACTGAATAACTGAATAACGATGGTAGATATAGGGAGAAATAATTAAAAAGAGTACTATGATGTTACAGTCTCTGTCATCTACTTATTTTATAAAAAATATTAATTGTCAGTGTTCTTTTACATTTTATGCTAGATTGAAAACAATAGAATGGAAGATTGATATATACGTTTATAAAATTCATTTTGAAGAATAAAAGCATTGAATTCAGTATTTTATTATCTTCGTAATGAGTTGAAGAGTTATGAAGTAAAATATAATTTCGTACATAATAAATATGCGCTATTCTTATTTGACCTTAATCTCCATCCTCGTTTTATCCCGATCTGGCTGTATAATACCTCCCTCCATTCTCCAGCTGATTGCCTCTCAAACAAAAACTAACCTGCAACAACAAAATGTCACACGCTGCTGCACATCACAGACTGTATATTTAATTTTATTCAATCACAAATGCAAATATGTTTGGGACTTTGAGAAGTAAATTCCAAACTGTACAGGATGGCATATCTGCGAGGTAAATTTCTATCTCAATATGGGCTAGTGTTGTCAACAATCATCGGGAGTAGAAAGTAAAAAACAGAACGTCATTTGTTTTAGTCTGAGGGGATTCTCACTATCAGATAGTCCAAAAACTAAAAAATCTCTACACGTTGGGAAAGTGAATTATGGAGCTGGAGCAGATATTTTGCACCACTTCCAGCTACAGTGGAATGAGTTGCACGAACTTGCCGAAGAGAATGCAACGAAATCACGTGAGGTGGATATTTTGATCGGTGGAATTTACGAGAGGCTTGACAGACAGTGGAGTAGTATCAATATTTTGAATGGAACATTGGCAGCAATACCAAAAATTAATAACGACATCCAGAATTTGATGGATCAAATAGGTAATCGTCAATTCAATGATTCATCAGGCACGATTCATTCATATTAAATAACTTTTATTAATTTTAAAATTAATATATGCAGGTTCGTTGGAAGAGGCTTTTGAGGAAGTTGAAGCTGCACTCTACAGACTGGAAGATCTCAATGAGACTTTGGAGCTCCAGAATAGGCAACTCGACCATAGATTTCAGTTGGCTTTGTACAAGGAGAAAAAATTGGCAGAGTTAGATTCTGTCAGAGGTAAAACTGACAACATTGAAATTCCCAAAATCATCAATTATTCATTAAGAATATCGAATTAGTATAATGGATCATTTTTTGACGTTCCTCAGCTGAGCTAGCTCGAGACCATAAGGAGAGAGTTCTTCAACAGGAATTAAGGCAACAAAAAACGTTGAAAGAGAGACAAGAGACATTTGACAAGGTCTTCCAAGGAGAATTGGAGAATTACAAAGTCACCGGCTCTGTACCGAGTTAGTTTCTCATTGCTTTACGAAATAAGATAAATTTTGATGCATTATTTATTTTGTTTCAGAAATTGTATCCCCTCATAAAGGTCCAACACTGGAGGAAATTGTTTTGGAGAACGATTCAACTGATTTCGATGAATTTCTAGAGAGCTAAAGATATAAAAATTACTTAACATTTATCATTGTGATCATTGAGCTTATCTATTTTATGAAAAATTCCTTTTATAATAGATTGCGTAGAAGTTAAATGGCGACCGCCCTTTATTTGCTATTTTCCTGCACTTTATTTGTATAGATTCAATAACAATATAAAATTGCAAAATTTTCAAATTTAAGTTCCTATTATTTGAAGCCTGAAGATTCAGTCCTTTAGAAAAAAAAGCATGCACTGAATGCAAATCGGATGTAAATCGACATTTGTTCATATTTTAGAAAGATATAATATGCTGGAAAAAATGTTTCAATACAAAAGTTGTGAAGACTTCTTTATCGAAAGGGGTACTGTTTCTTAGTTCTCACGCCACCGCTGTGAGGTTCAGCCGTTTAACAGACACATTATACATACCTCAGATGTTCTAATCCTGATTAATCTCCTCAATTATCTCTGCTGTTTACCATCATTTATCATCGTGCTCTCAACAATCTGTTAAAAATGTCAAAAGATTACAAAAAAATGGTGTTTGGATTCTTTCAAAAGATTAAACATATATAAGATTTTGTCACAGTGAAAATTCATTTTGTTCAGTGAAAATTGGAGCAGATGACGTCTGTCTCCTCGATTCGGCGGTGTTTAGTGAGATAATCGTAGAAGTGGACACTTGTTGAAATGTACATGTGATGTTTGTGTGAGTGGTTTTGATACATTCTGCGCGTGAATATTTCGCCAATCAACTGCCATTTTCAACAATTGAAAAAACAACAAATTTTTATTGCTAAGAATGCAAGATGAGCTGGAAATATGTATTTATAACACTCCTGTACGTCTGTACAGTAGAATCCGGCTTTGACGATAATAATGTATGCACATTTCATTTGTTTTATTTATCGTACTTCTGTTTACGTATGTATCTTAATTCATTAGCATTGATTCATAGTGTTTTTACAAATATATCTGCAACGACGAAGGAGCAAAATATGAGAGGGAGATTGAAGAAAAAATCTCGCAATGCAATGTCACTAATATTCCTGAAAATGAACTAATTCTACTGAATGACGGAAAAATCAGTAAATAATTCATTCATTTTTATTTATTAATCTAACATGTCGGGGTAATTTATTAATTTCCATTTTTTTTTCATTGTTTATTCCTTAGGCACTTTAAAAACAGTACTGAATTTACCCAACGTTGAATGCAATTACGATATCGCTTTAGTTGTTAATTCAACAGTTAAGTCTCAAGAGGAGTGCGATCAACATGTGTTCAACGAGGATTCCACTTCTTATCGGGAAGTTTATACAAATTACCGGATTTGTGTGGTTGATGAACCATCTCAAATGGACAATCCGAGTAATGAAGAACCAACTTGCAAAGTAATGATTACGAAAGCTCTTTTTATACCGAATTATATATTTGAAACACATTAATTTCATTACAGGACGACAATATTGTTCTCAGCCATGAGCACATATTCACCGGCTGTTACGCCCTTCGTTTTTCCATTGATGATGAGTACAAATATGTTTATCGGGGAAGAAAATTTGTAGTGTCAAGCTATGAGTTGACCAGAGTGCAAGAACCAACTCACCAATGCACATATTTCACCAGAGAAAATATCAGCAATAGGTATAATATTTATTATACCCAATAGTCCTTATAATATTTTTGAGGGGCATGGATTTGTAGTTTGTGTTGCATTATGGAGAGCCAAATGTAGTAGAAAACTAATATTGGTAATGGCACCTCTCTCTCACCATGAATTATTATGAATTAATACAAAAAAGTACAATTAATTTTTAGGAGAATAAATTGTTGCCCTTGTTAGATTTCTTTTGAATGAGCTTTTATTCTTTGGAATGCGAAAGACAATTACACTATTCTTTCAGTAGTGATGGAGTAATATTCAGCCTGGATATTTCGTTGCACTCTGCCTCCCCAACATTGCATTTAGGATTGCGAACATTATCTCCCACCCATCAAAGTGAAAAAAATGCCTGTACCAACTACGCTAGAAATTACGATGGGGATGAATGGGCCATTAACATGGTAATCGATTTTTCGTTAATTATTTTCTTACATTCCTGATCGAATTTCCGATACAGGAGCAGCATGTGCATGATCTAATTAATCCAATAAATTTATCGTCAAATAATGTTTAATGCGTTGATGGTTGAAATATCGTTCACAGAACAGTTCAGCTCCTCGGACGTCGTTTACCAAGAACTGCAGTTTCATGACGGTAAATTCTGGAAATTATTTAAATTTGAATATATTTAAATTATTTTTATTTAATATTATTTCCTCCATCAGGTTCATGAGAATCTCACATCGAATGCATCGTACGCAGAAAGTATAGATTGTCGATTTTCCCTCAATATACCAACGGATATGATTTACTGCTTCAAACTTAAGGTGATCGATGAACGTTGCCATAAAGATTCTCTTTGGAACAGTCCGCGAAGATTCTATCCCTGCACATGGATGCTCGGTAATTTTGGTATCGGCATTCAACGCATTCAGATTAGTATAATTGGTCCCTCTTATTCCAGAATGCAACCGAGATCCAAAAGCCCATGAGACGTCTGAACACATCGGGGATGTTGATGGTCCTCGTAAAATAATTGTTGAGGGCAATTTATTCCTTCCTGTAGGGATTGCATTGGTTCTCTTTGTGTTTGTTATATCGGGAATTTTATTGGGCATACGTCGATGGCGATCGACCACTCGGCGAGTTTATCTCAATGCTAATATGCCGGACTTGAGGGTGACGAATCATAACGAGGCTGATGTCGCTGATACCGACGATGAGATGAGAAAGTCTACTAAAACTGGTGAGATTGATGAAACGAAGGGAATCGTTCTTTTGTACGCCAGAGGTTCGACTCCGTTTATGACGTTCATGACGGAATTCAGGGAAAGTTTGAAACTTTTTTGCAAGTGTAATGTGAGTAATCGTTAATAATTATGAATTATTAATCTAAAGATAAATGTGTACAGTACTGGTAATTATTTTTTATTCCATCAAGGTTTTCGATTGGTATGCCGCGTGTGAATGGAACGACGTAGCCAAAGTTGGGGCTTGTGATTGGGCTACGAATCTAATTCGGAATCAGCATCGCGCTGTATGGATCGACACACCTGGCGCTAGATCGCTGGCTTCAAATGGCTTTAGTGATAGCAAATGCGGTGCAGAAGCTATCAGCGATTTCCGGGATATGGCGTTCTTTGCGGTTCTAGATTATGCCAAGCGTACTATCATGAATACTAAACTGCAGTATAGTAAACATTTCATTGTGAGGTAGTATTAATTTTTATAATTATAAATTGGCATTGTTGAATGGTGAAAGTATGATTTTTCATATTGCTTTTATTTTTATGATTATTTTTCATTACAGACTCGAAGGATTTGATCATGAAAATTCGACTGTCGATCCGTTTTCTGATCTTTCTCCTCATGCTCGTTACCTCGTTCCTTATCACCTCAGTCAGCTCTGCTCACACTTGTTAGTTTGGTTTTATACAATAACCACTGGCTTGGTATCATTTTAAAAAATTCATTGGAAATTGATTTTCAGATCGTCGAGGAAATCAGACAGCAGCGGCGAGGCCCTGATGGCTACGGAGGCTCAATTAAGGGAACGCTTGAAGCAAATAAAAAATGAATAAGTTATGTCAATCGTTTTTAAGAAATTTTTTACAAGATTCCTTCATGTGAATTATAATTTTCGTCCTCAAGTAAATGACTGCAATGTGTTGTTTTTTAATCCACTTTCGAAATAAAAATCAAATGAAGAAATGTAAAACAAACGTTATTTTCTTTTATTACAACATCATATAAAATCTAAATTTACACGCGGTCACACTAAAATACACATCACGGAAACGGTTACGTTTCATGTTTAATAGGTTTTACAATAAAATAATTTTATAATAATCAATACAGACATACGAAAAATACACATCAAATGCGAAGATACATTTAGTAAAAAATAAACCATTTAGAATTCACTGCAACTTTTCACAAGTTTACCTCTGCTATCATCACAATGACATATTCATTATAAACGATTTACTTTGCCAATCATTTCGGAACTAATTTTATTCCACAATAGTGTAAACTGCTGCTTGACGATTCAATAATTTTTTATCTATTGCTAATTTCGTATTGAACTAATTCGCTATTCTATCAGCATTACGAGTTTTTTTTTGGTTTATCCCAACAGGTGCCTTACATCTTACATAATTTCCATGCTTAATTATCTAATAACTTATGACTACAGAACTATTCTCTGTTTTCATCAATCCAAATGCCAATTTCTTCATTGCAATCCTTTTAAATATTATCGACACATAAAATTCGTATAAAACAATGTTACAGACATATCTAGATTTTTCTTCTATAGTAGATTTATTATTCACACACAATTGGAGTCATACGTTTTAAGACGGTTAATTTCTTTTATTGTGAATTTGTGGTCCTCGGAGTTTCAAAAGTTTCAGTATTTTATGAATTTTTTTCTTTGCTTATCGCCTCCTATTCCTATACACGCAAGTCCTATTATCCATAATCCAAAGGGGTACTTTCAACACAGTGATTATTCATATTGTTATTCATGTTTTTACATCATGCACATGTAATTGAGATACATGTTGATATCAATAAATGTAACCGCGATGTAATTATAATTGCATAAAATGCCACGTTAAAGCTCCATTGTGTTATTTTACGTGTACTCGGATTTTCCATTGAAATGATAATAGAGTCAGTGTGTGAGGTATTGTGGTACTTAAAAAAAAATTGACCAATAATATGTACCAGGAAAAACATAGAGCTTTTTTCAACTGACTTTTGCCATTCTCTGGTCCCCAATCGAAGTCTGCCACTCTTTAAAATCATCGTAATATAACTTAACTAAAATAAAACTATATCGAAATAACTAATCAGTCTCATGAAACATTAATCGGCAGCAATTAATTCCACTATTCGGACTGTAACGGATTTTAATCGCAGTTGATATGTCAAAAATAATTGAACAAACACCCAATTACACCACGAAATTCAGCGAGTAAGCCGATTGTTGTGCGTCAAGTATACGTACAATATGCACAAACGAATAATTCTCAAATACTCAGAGAGGAATGTATCCAAGTATCTAAAAATGTCCATAATGATCACAGCTTTACAGAAGGCATGTAAAACACATGTTTCAGATTTTATCTTTGAGAAGGACTGAAATTTAATCACTCCAGCGTAAATGATAGAGCAAACAGAACTAAATACCAAATATACTAATAAAACTCAACGAGACGCCAATAGGAATGAAAAAAAAAAAGAATAAGCGTGCATATGTATCGATTCAGGATACATGTGCATTAATCCATGGAATGGACGGAGCGAGGATATTCGTTGGTCAGCAGTGCATAAAAACTATAAAAATCCAATGAAACTCTCGGAGGGTGAACAATGGAGTGAAAGAATTTAAAGCAAATTAGAGTTCGTAGACGTCTTTTCCATAGGGTCTAGCGACATTAGGTCTACATGATGCGGGACTTGCATATGAATGAATAATATGAACCCTGAGTCTGACATCTCCGGATGAGCGGGTGCCATCTCCCCTCTGCCTCCTGGAAAAACTCACAGTTGTCTTGCAACAGCAATAATGAAAGAGCTTGACATAAGCATTTCTAAAATGTCGATCGAGCACGCAATACAGAAGACTATTAATACACGATTTTGACAGTGCGAACCATGCTAGCTGATAAAATACTCCAGAGTTAACGCGTCTGAAGTTACTAATGCATGCTGCGCTGCCAAATGGTAACCAGAATACAGCGAATAAGACAAAACTGCACATGTTGGTTTTGGTGAGGTCGTAATCCCAGGAGAAGGTGGCTGGTGGCTTGAAAGAACTCCTGATTGCGCGTCGTACACGAAGAATTAGACGTAGATAGAGTACGATTGTGATTACCGCAGGTAGGAGTACCAGAATGCACGCTACTATTACCTGCTCACGGGCAACACCAGTAAAACGACGACGGCAGAAGTCCGGACCCAGATCCAGAGTAGACTGGAGTATTACAGCTATACCTGCTATCACCCACACGCAGAACGTTATTCCAGTTATTCTACTTGGTGTGAAGATTGCGTACCTTTCGGACAGTAAGGAATATATTTATAAATTAATTGCAGTCCCCGAGGTTCATCATAATTCCGTACGGTTTTCAAACGAATTAATTCAATTGAATATTTAGCAAAATTTCGCCAATCTTCATGCATATTTCATGTGTTAGTTGAAAAACAATTATCTTTTTGTCAATGAAATTCGATAACGATTCGAGAGAGCGTTAGTACCTTTCAGCAGGGAGGCAGAGTCGAGCGTAATTTTCCGCAGCAATCGTCGCGAGAGTCAATAAAGTCACCAGGAAGCATAGAACCTCCAGAGTCCACTCGAATCGACAGATACTTTCTGTATCCTCATGACCTGCCAGAATGACTATTGCCGATGCTGGAATCACTAAACCAGTTATCAAGAGATCTGCCAGGGCGACGTTAACTAGAAATGCATTTCCTGGGGGACATTCAATGTTTGTTATTTATGCAGTCCAATCATTTTTCCATCGATTTTTCAAGCTAGTCCGAGCGGGAGTGAGACAGCAGGATAAATCAATTTTTATGTAAATGTCGCTATATCAAGATGTCACAATTTTCGGAGAAATAGAAGAACCTTTTTAAAACCACATGGGGTTCTACGAATGCACTGGAAAATTTTTATTCTTGTTTGAGACTTTGATGAGATGGAAAGTCATAGCGGCCATTCAGAAGACTGGAAAATTTAATCTTAAATCGAGAAGGAATGGATTTTCCAGTAACGTCCTTGGCGAAATACGCATGAAAACATTTCGTTTGATGAAATTGCTTTTCATGATAGCTCGGGAATTTTCCAGGTGGAAAATACCGTATTTCTTTCAATCTAGAGTAGAATTTTCATGGCTTCGCTGTGACAACGCTTGCGACTATCACCTCCTCAAGAAATACCAATTTATTTTTACGAAGAGCAATATTCGTAACTCATCAACGCCGGATGTATCCAATTTGACGAATCTTGCTGTTCCACGCGGAGAAGATAGAATACCAAAAAAATTGCTGGGGACTAGAATTTTTAATATATTTACTGGTATTTTATCTTCTCAGCGCATTATTTCTGATGGTGGTAAAATGAATGAGGCACCTCGTTTCTTTAAATGATCCTCAACCATGACAGCTGATATCATGAATACATTGCCGACACTTCCGACAACAGCCAATGAAGCGAGTAATAAAAGCTTGGCCACTCTGGACCAATCGGCAGAGAGGGTGACAGGAGAAACATCGGAATCATCACTCAATCCGAATGATGGACTTCTGTTAATGACACCAGCAAGTGTACTGGTTATACCAAGTACCTCTCGATCACTGGTAGCTGTCATCGATGCGGCGACCGCTGCGGCCGCTGCAGCATCGCCTAGAGTTGTCGTCGATGGGGTTGATGTTGATGGAAGTATTGTCGTTAAACTCGTTATATTGATCATTCTGTCGGGTACCAGAAGAGAGAAAGATATTGTAAAAAAAAAACATCCCAGAGAAAGACAAAGAAATGGAATGGATGGCACAAACCCGGGGAAAAGGAACGGGTGAAATTGCGGGAAAAACAGATATAACCGATGATAAACGACGTGAGTACTTGTTGCATCGCCAGTACAACCTACATAACTGCATATAAGTACATGCCTATGTATAGTGTCATTGTACAGACCGTTGGAGCGAGACAGGTAGTGTCTGATGTCAATCGACCCGACGCCGTACAACGAACTCCCGACAGTTATATCTAGTTATATCTAGTAGTCCCTTTTCAACAGCCTTTACCCCTCACTTCTGACAATTAATAAATGAATATCAGTAGTTACACGTACCTCACCAGTCCCCCATAAAATCCTCCGCTGAGCCCCCGATATTTACTCACATCCACCTGCTGGAAAAATTTTCCATCGTAAAAACGTCATAAAAAAAAGGGCCGGAAATTCAATTTAGCGTTTAATCAATCGAGGACTCGAGTTAATGGCATTTATCCTTCGATTTGACGTTGAAGTGAGATGGTCGGGGATAGCATAGCTATGAACTCAGTGGGGAATGTTGAGAGGGTGGGATGAGGTGAGGTCACCAGAGAGGGTGTCATTGTGGGATAGGTCACCCGCTGGGGAAAACTCCTGCTCATTATCGTAAGTGCGCTACGCGTTATGTAGGCCATAGGTACTGAAGCACCCCATCTATTAAACCAGCCCTTTGATCATCCTACATAACCCGAGGAAATTCGAATAATTGGATGCGCTTGAATGTTCCCATTATTTCTCCATGCATTCTCCACTGCTTTTTTTTTTTGTTTCTCCGTTTTGAGCAGTGAAGAGTGACTGCGAGTGAAGGGAAAATGAAGATGATGATTATTTTGTTGATGTGAATTTTGAGTGGGTATGGGGTAGTAGGTGAGGGACTTAAGCTAGTGTCGTCCAGGCCAGGGTGGTATAAACGCGGGTGGCGGCCACTAGAACGAGAAGCTGTATCGATTGAACGCTTCGCCGGGACCACCGCCTTCTGCCAATCCACAACTTTCCCTTAGCCCAACCCCTCATTTACATTCCCTCTCATATGCCCTTTAACAGGTGACATGTACATACTCTATTTATCTTCAACCCTCTCAGTCAACAGGATCATCGCTTAGTCATTCCTCCAGTTTTGGTCAAGTATTTCTTGTGGAATTAGTGGGCGTTTCACCACAGCCAAACTTAGCATTCTATTTTTACGGATTTTCCATTTTCATGCTGACTATTAGCCCGCCAATGTTTACGATGCATATAGAAATTCCATATGTATAGTGGACTATTAATTCAGACCCGCGTGCCTAGTACTAGGAGGTGCGCGTGTTTGGCCTTTATGCTGGAAAAATATCGACCCATTAATTGGTAAATCCGGGAAAAATGAGATTATCATTTTTTGCATGTCTGGCTAGGTTTTTTTTTTATCGCTGAGGCTGACGCTAATTTTTCGTCATGATTGCGCGCATTTGGGGGTGTTGGGGGACTCAGCGAGGGCGGAGAAGTTTAATGCCTTACCTCACTCTTTATTACAGCACCAGTCAAACAGACTACGCTTTATTTATTTAGGTCTTCCACGCACCGATATCTATGTCACGGACTATCAAACTGTCAATGCTCTTGTGGAATTGCATCTTTTCATTGGGCCTTTTATTTATTCTCATTCATTCTTTGTTGGTGTCACTCACTCGGTTGTAGCATTTGTGCAATTTTGAATATTTTTTTTTCACTCGGCGGTCTAGTGACTAGACCATTAAAATCGTCCAGACAAATTTTTCGATTATTTAAAGCCTGATTTTAAAAGGAACGATTTAAATTTTAGGCAGTCAGTTGAAAAGGTGGCGATGATATCCCAACGTATTTACGGTTCAATTGTTAGGATAGTAATGGGAGAGAATTGAAAGGAATTCGAACTCATTACCTGCTTTCACAATTTATTGTTTGAAATTTTTCGTTCTGTTCATTTGAGATTTCTAAAGCTCAGGGTAATTTAGCTTTGGATAAATATACGACATTGTGGGACGGCACGCACCGGTATACTGGATGAATACTGGAGGGATGGTGGGATTTCATTACCCAACAACTCTGTGTTGGTTGTACGAGGTCTTGTACCCACCAATACGAAAGTTCAATCGACGCTTGCGCATCATTTTTCCTGTAAATTTTTCTACCCCATGACTCATTCCATTAACATTATCCACATTATTTAAGTGTACTATTAATTTATTTACTCCTGTGTATACGTATACGTTTGGTATTATTTCAAATAAAATGAAGATTACAGTGTATATGAGGTTGATTACATAGTCTTTTAATCATTTGGCAACTTGGATAAGCTGTTTAGCAACTTTATTATTTTCCCCTCGTTTATGTTATTTAGTTGAATTTTTTAATCTCTTGTTGCATTGAACTGAACACGATGGTTTGATGAAGCTTCTGTGGCCACTCTCCAATTGATTTCACGTTTGATGAAACTGAAAGTATAATTTTTCGATTTATCAAGTGCAGGTCGAGTAAAATGGTAAAAATAATACTCTTCGCTTCTCTCAAGCATTGTGACGGCATACACCTCCATATGAAATTATTTCGAAAGGAAGAAAAGGATCTTGATAATTTCATTGTCGTTAACAATTGAAACAATTGAAAATATTCAAAATGGCCCTTTAAAATTTTTTAATACGATCAAAGTGGAATATCGACTAGTATCTGTAATTATTCAAAAATTCAATTGAACTCGACCCCTCATTCTGCCGCCCACCCTTAGACTTCCATCTTCATTGTTGAGGTCTTCCTTTCATTGATGAAGATCTTCCTTGTTGTTTCTATTTGTGATTCAATGACTCCAAAGAATTTACCTCAGTGAATAAATCATTAACAAGATACTGAAGGTAATCAAAAATTCAAAATAATTATCAAGCCCTCGATTAGCCATTATCGACTCCAGCTACAAACAACTGGAACAAGAATAAAAAATTTCCCCCAAAAGCAATCGTCATACCTTTGAGCAACCTCATCTTCCTGGCGTCTCCACTCTTCGGTGGTAAAATCTTGATCGTCTTGACGTCTTGACATCCGGATTCATCAAAAGTGCCACTTAAGGAAGAGCTCGGTGTAAACCATTGAGAGGTAACATGTGGGGTCCGTCTTGGAACTGAAGGAAGACACGATTGGCTGGGACTGGTACAGCTCGACGTGGTGGAAGATACACCGGATAAAGTTGAATCATTAACATTGGGAATTATTCTTTGGCACACAAGTGTATCCCTAACGCGCTCACAACTCCCAGAACTTTTTAAATTGTACTCATCACCTTTGGCAATATTATCTGGCTTCTCCATCAAGCCCAACATTCCTTCAACACTCGTCTTGGCCCCCTCACCCAATAGTTTAGAATTTCCGGCAAATTTTCCAGAGGATATAGCATCCCCAGATGAGTCGATATTAATAAGAGGATCATTAAACAAATAACTCCAATTTGTCAGATTTCTCTTGATCGTGGAGAATGTGTCCTTATCCAGAATATCCTGATCATTTATATCGTCATCGACAATATTGTCCATCATTGAAATATTTTCGTAGCTATCAACACGATAGTTACTCGTTACCGAGCATTCTCCCTCGTCAGCGTTGTCATTATTACTTCTTATTGATCCACCAGACACGATCCCCTCGAATTCCTCTTTTTCCACGAATGTATCCCGGAAATCTCTATCGACGTCAAAATCCAATTCGTCATAATCCGCATTTCCGAATAAATCAACATCATTCCAGAATATTTTTCCAGGGTTTATATGATCGGTTGTTGAAACAGTAGTCGATACAGAACACATGTCGATCGCATTGACCAGACACCTGTCAATTTCCTCTTTGCTCCCGGCAGAAATTTCTGGCATATCTTCCTTATCCTGAGACTGCCCCATCAACATCTGTGATTGATTCTGAAAGTTGTCAGTGCTGTGAGCATCAGCAATCTTTACCTTCGTCTGTTTTTTACTCCTCTCACGATCTAGGAGCTTCTTCAGCCAGGAGAGTTCCTTCCTGTTCTTGCCCTTTTTCTTCTTTGGAGGGGTCTCCTCGTCGCTCAGAGTTAAATCGATATGTATTCTCTGATTGATCCTTCGCGGATCTTTGCGGATTTTCGTGGAAACGATGGTCTTACGTGATGGTTGGCTATCCAATACTCTTGTATTAAAGTCAGGTTTTTTATCCTGGGGAACATGAAATAAATCGTCCCTGTGGGTTCCATCACGTTTCTCATTGACATCGTCTTCAAAGGCGATTAGATCTGCACAAGCTTTTCGGACATTAAAAGAGTGCTGCTGGAGATACCAGAGAGTCGAGTTGGTTGATGGTGGTGCAGAGGGTAAAAATGTGAGGTAATCATTATGACATGTGCTCTTCGGACACTGGGAACCGAGCAGAGCCACTGCCAGTTTATTTATCCTATTTTCTTCCTCAATTTGACCTCTTACGAGCCCCTTCCACAGCATCAGGGCGAGTAATTGTTATGCATAGGAACTCTCTGTTAGTGGTAAGTCGTGCTCCGATTTATTGGAAAAGAATCTATTGAAAATAGGCTTGTAAATGCTCGAATACTGCTTCTCAATTAATTTAGATCGGAGAAGGACCTTGGCCACGTGCTCTGGAGAAGGAGTCAAACACACGTAGAGGACGTTGATAAGCCTCGCAGCGATGTTGTCGGGATTAGAGATTAACTCCATATCCAAGTATAGGGACAGGAGATGGGAAATTTTGTCGAAATAAAGGCGACAGTCGAGCATGCGGTCTTTTATATCTAGCCAGTAGAAATAGAAAAATGTCAACATTCTACTTATTTGGGCGCTGAGGGTTGAGGCACGTTGGGGAGAAGAGTAGCACAAGTCCACCTCCTTGGAGACGTGCTTTATGTACAAGGACAGCATATCCTCCAGGACTTGGTTGCACTTGTTGCCTACAGACGAGCAGATGAGACTCTCGAAGCTTCGGTACCATGTGTACGTTTCTTCCATCTTCAGAGACTATGGACAAGTTGTGGATTCTTAGGGTTTCAAGGGTCCGGTTTTTTGCGGATTGTTGCGAAATTTATATACTCACCGATGATGCCGGATCCGGATGAGTGCTGCTCTTGACCTGATTTCTACGCAAATGGCTATAAGAGAAATCTGAATAATTAATTCAGAAATTGAAAAATAATACGCGCACAGCACACGTCTAGAGGATACATACATGTACAACGATTTATGGGGGTGCAGCACCCCTCGATTTCACGAGGGGGTGCGAGCACGGGCGCCACCTTCGTGGTGGTTGATGCATACCTCTAATTCAATATTTTTTTCTCCGTACTGCACCTCACTATTTATTGTTGGGAAATGAAAATTTAATTTTCCACATTTCCACATTGCGATGAGTGAATTCTCCAAGCAATTATAAATACCTATTTAAGCAACAGTCTGGATCGTTCATGTTGTTCCTTACCTACCTTATTATTAATTTTGAATATTTTCGAGGAAGTGTCGGCAGGGGTCGCGGCAAATAATCTCTTTGAAAATGTTCCGTGTGATTAGACAATAATTACTGATTGATATTATGAATGTATTGTGTAGTGAATGAATTTAAGTGGAAAAATGATGAAGAATTGCATTGATTATGAATATTAATGTTTTTTAATAAAGAGTAAGGGGGATGTGGGGTGACTGAGTGACCCCATGTCACCTCCGTGATAAGAAAAAAATAGCTGATGCTACGGAGATTTAAGTGCGCTGGCTCTGGAATAGATTGGTACTGCGGCCCGTTTCACGTATGTGACATGGCGTCCGGGTAGAAAGAAAGTTGACTGTTAAATAAGCGTTAATGTTGTTTTTATGACATTGAATCAGAGTTGAGTAATACTAATCTGAGACCGCGAATTTTCCAAAGACACTGGCATTGATGGTAATGCATGCGAGGAAACCACAAAGGATCAGCGATGGGTAGGGCTCCCAACAACTTGAGAGACTTTGACTTCTCTCTTTCCATCCACTCAAATTATATTTTTTCCCCTCCTCACGCAAAAACATCCATTCCCTTTTTCCTTGTCACTAATCAAATACCAATTATTTCCATGGTAAAGTAATCTTCCATCGATTATGTACTTTGGGTTATCCCTTGCATATAATCATGAAAATTTCATTTTTTCCCTGTTTACGGAGGTGCTTTTTTTGGCATTAGTAGCATTTCCTCTATGATTTCTCTTGTCTTACCTCCCTTCATTCCTTCCCTCTCCCCTGCATTTCCATTATTCCACATTAATTATCCTACTCTCCTATATGCAATCTTCTACCTTTTCTCATATTTAATTAATTCAATAACTCCCCTCCCCTCCCCGATTATTGATTGATTTTTATTAATGAATTCTTCTAATTGCTTCTTGATGATGTAAAAAAGATTTTTCTTATGATTTCAGGTACTTTGAAAAGCACCAGGCCCATCCCTATCAGGTAAATATCAAGTCAAAAGTCGAATTTGAGTATTTGTTTCTTTCCCTCGAGTCACGAACAATCCGAGTCCATTGATTATTAATTGGGCGAAGTAGAATCAGTCGGAATGATGATTTAGAAACATTCATACGAGATTACATTGTGAATTTGAAGATTTTGCTGAGTAACATTTGACATTGCCATGGGATTGATTTTTTCACAAGTTTCTTTGTACCCTTGTGCATTCCCGTCCATTTTTCCCCTTGAACCTATTGAAATTGATAACTGTCCACTGAATTAATCGAATTGAATTTACTGAATTGCTTATTAGCAGAGGATGGATATAATTTAATTGTAATAAATACAAGACGTACTTAGAATACGATTTCCGTCGAACATAACCTCAATCTGCTAAAAAATCAATAGTAGTTTGACTGAGTATTTGAACGCTGATAATATCCTATCATGACATTCGTCCAGAGAAAAATATTTCATTGGTTTTTATATGCGTGAGAGACAATGAGAAGTGGGTTTGAAGGAATATTAATGGTTTTTGGGTGTTGGTTTGATTGCAGAACTCCAAATATGGGAGTTCTAAGGGTGGGTACTCCTCGTCGGCAGTGTCATCGGATGGACGTTACGAGGGACGTATGCGAGATTCACCAAATGGCAACTCGTACAGCCCAGCTGGTGGATTGGGTATGGGCATGGCTGTTGATCGCGACAGTCCACGTAGTTACACATCCAAACCTCTATACAAGAAGGAGAGAGAAAATAGAGACTACAAGTTATCCTCCTCTAGGGACAAGTATTCCGGTGTGTATTTTCATCGACAATTATGGGAAACATGAGTTTCGTTGTCCCGTGTGTTTTATTAAGCTTGTGAAACTCATCGCAGTTCATTTATTGTTTATTCCGAAATGCATAGCAACACTTAACTACAAATATTAAATTTATGGTCCTGGAGACTTGATCGAGGATGTAAAGGACACTCGGGCTTTCCTTGATATCCCGTACCTCTCTCAGTCACGGAAATTGTTGTCTCGCCTATCCGGACTGTTATTTTATTTATTCTTTGTTGATGGATAATTGAAAGCAGTAAATATTCAATTAAATGCTTCAATTATTTTATACTTCCATTTTCTAGTTGGTTGATCTTTCAGCGGCAGTCCCAAATATGGGATTTCCTTGAATTAGGAAAGAATTATTACGAATAAAAATAACGGAGATATTAAAATGGAAACACATATTAATTCTTCTATAATGTTTGAAATATTTTCAATAACAAGAAATCGTATACCTGCAGCTGTGAAAGCATTAATTGCCAATGTTTAGATTGTGCGAGATCTCCGAAGGACAAAAGGAGTCGAGATAGTCGGGATTCAGAGCACAGGACCAACCATGATAGGAGTGGAAGTGAGGTAATAATATGATTCCTTAGAATTCGGTTGAGAACTGGTGAAGAAATCCGATGAGCCCCAGTTCTCCATTGCTCAGACTGTCCTCGGATAGCATTTTTGATTATTATATCTTTTGAATACAGATTTTGCATCCCATAAAGTTGTCATCAAACTCGTCTCGAGATTCGTCGCTGCGCAAGCCTGCAGCCCATAATTCCTGTCAGGTATTTATATCAATAATTCAACTGCCGATAATTTCACAATACCATATTTCAATTAGCACTCTTTAATAACGACAAATCGGAATAGGATAAGCGCGGTGATGAACGAGGCGCCGGTGGTGGCAGTGGTGCTGGTGGTGCGATGGAGAGGACAGCAAGATTTGGTGACTGGTCTGAGCACATGAGTTCGTCTGGTAAAAAGTATTACTACAACTGCAAGACAGAAGTTTCACAGTGGGAAAAACCACGTGAGTGGATTGTACGGAATGACAGTAGACAACGTCAATCTAATGACTATTCATCTAGGTCAAGTGAGTATTTTCAAACGCTTTTATTTGAGCTTTCATTCATTTTTAATTTCCAATGAAAATACCTTGCAACGTTTATCCTCATGTTTATTCCACACATTCAATAGTGATGTGATAGAAATAAAGAGAAGAGAACATGTCGATTTTTAATATTTGATCAGAAATTTTAAGTTGGAGATCCTTTTCAAGAGATAAAATCGAGAATGGATTTAAGGATTTAGCACTTGGCTACTGAATTATTCATCTTGGATTAGAATGTCCTCATTGTTCTCATCTTCATTGATTGCAAATAGAGAGCCCTAGAGAGAGAAAAAAAAACAATGAAAATATGTGAATGATAATGAAGAAAGCCAAATGACAACTGAAACTTGTTTAATAGGTCACGATAAACATTCCAACTCGCGGTCAAACAGCAGTAGCAATGTACGCGACAGTAAATCATCAATTCGACAATCGGATAAACGTGAATACTGGGCATCGTGTAGTGGTAGTGGACCAGGTGGTGGTAATAATGGTGGTGGTAGCTGCAGTAGTGGTAGCAGCTCGAGTAAAGACGAAATAGCAACACGTGAGCGTGAAAAAGAACGTGAATTACGTGATAGAGAGCGTGAACGTGAGATACGTGATCGTGAAATGCGTGATCGTGAACGAGATAGAGAATTACGTGAACGTGATAGGGATAGGGATAGAGATAGGGATTGTAGAGATTCAACGAGGGAACTCGATATTGGTATTGAGAGACAGGCACAGGATATGGATATATCGCCTGGTGATTCAACACCAACGTCTGAGCCACTTAATTCGAGTGGTCATGACACACTGCCACAGGGACCTGTACTCCTTGCAACAGCGTTACCTCGATTAGCATCTCATCCACCATCAACACCACAGACACCAGGAAAATTGGCAACATCACCACAGCAATCTGGTACACAGCAGTCAGCCAATACTAATGCTGGACCTGGACCACCGGTTACACTTGCTAGTTTACCTAGGCTTTTATCCCAAATTACTGGAAGTAAGGAGCAGACGGATATTACACCGCAGAGAGCACTGCAGACTATTCAAACTGCTATTTTATTGTCTCGACAGGTTAGTGCAAATTAAATAACGAGATACCACTGCATTCATCCGTTTGAGAGTGAATTTTATTTTTATTTCATCATCAAATTATCACTACATTTTTTTATTTTACTTATTGCCACATTTATCATTAAACCATGTAGAATCGAGTTTTGAATTTCATCCCATTATCTTCATGTATAAACTAAAATGCTTTGTAAGATTATATGGAAAGCACTTTGTTAATTATAGTAATTCATCTCTTGGAGGTAAGACTCATTAGGAATAATGGATTAGATTACTTTGAGTGTAGTGATGAGCATTAAAAAATAATAGCTTGGGGGGATGTTATTACAGCAATCAGGGGGAAGTGAGCGTGCTGGCAGTAGCAGCGATGTGATGGCACCCCTGAAAGTTGACACTAGTGGTAACGTGTCCAATGAGGGCCCACCGACACCAACACATTCAGAAACTCAGGATTGTATCGATGCTAGAAAGCGTAAGATTTTCTTGTGAATATTAAAAATTTGAAAATACACAGTGGTTGAATGTGGTGAGTAATGAATTGTGAATTATGAACAGTGGCTAGTCCAGGTGGTGCCAATTCCAGCGTTCAGGGGCTCTGCTCACTACAGGGAATCAGTACATTCGGTACGCTCAGCAGTCTTGGTGGCAGTGGAGGTCTTCAAGCTCTGTCGAGAGTCCAGCCACCCCTGACGCCTTCATTAACACCATCTCTCGCTAATCACTACAGGGAAGACTTGACACAGCATGTTCGCGCTTTTCCCGCCGATATACTGGAGAAGCAAGTGAGTTTCCAATCCTTGAGATTTTCTCAAAATCAATTGTAATATTGCCGATGATTAATACTCAATCGAATGGCTTCTTTCCGATTAGGCGCAAAAACTTAGTGAAGAAGCACACACAATGGGCAGTTTACAGTGTACCCGGGTCTCCGCGGAGCTAAAGACTGCACGATCGATAGTGAGGCTGACCGAAATTCAAGCGACCCTGCAGGAACAAAGGTAAATACCTGGCAAGCTATTTCAAGTACAATGAGCATTCGCTCCTCAATAATTTTTCATTTCCCATGAGAATCATATCCGGTTCGTTCTTCATTCTCTTTGCAGGATATTATTTCTCCGCCAACAAATACAAACGCTGGAGGAGCTGAAATCCCAAAATTCCTTCATGTCTGATGATTCTTAGTTTAAGGTACTTTATAAAGAAGAAAAAAAATAATATTAATGATTAATAATAATTGAATAATATTAATTACCTACGAATCTAATTAAATTCATTGCAAGCAAGAGGAAAAAAAAACAGAAAACAAGCATAAAACATAATTATTAATATTCTCATTAATATTGAAGTAATTAAGATTGTACCTAAATTATAATATCATTTAAATAGAAGTGAAATATGGAAAAAATGGAAAAAAAAGTAAAAAAAAAAATCTAGCGAATGATGACTGCGCTGCCCAGAGAGGATGGGGCTGCTGCTTCGCTGCTGTAATGTTGAATCAGTGAGTGTGATCAATGCAATTTGATCAATTTCATTTTTTTTTTGTAAACATGAAATTTGTTTAATACCTTTTATCATTGTCATCATGAAACTCTCATTTTTCCATACTTTTTATTCTCTTTTATTTTTTAATTAATTATTAATATAATATTGTGAATTTAGTTGACTATTTTTTGATGGAGGAGCATTGTTTAGTAGAATTTTTTCTCTGTTTATATTACACCTCTCTGGGAAGCACACGAGGCCTATCCAAACAATTTAAAAAAATATTGTAGAAAATGAAACAATTTCGGACCGAACCTCATCGGCATCCATCTAACAATTGACAAGGAACAGAAAACGAAAAAAAAAAAGGGGGAAAAACTTGTACTGAATTGTATATCTGAATTGTCCATAATTGTCTTTGTATTATTACCTATGTTGTATGTGTCAATGTTTCATATCCTTGACAATGAAAAAAAAAGAAATCTTTAAAATGCGGCATTTTAACTAGTTGAAAAGTTTTTTTTTTGTTATAAAACTCAATAAAATTTCGTGCCACTTTTGATCTAAAAGAGAGAACGATGAAAAACACAAGTGAAGAAAATAAAACAATCATCACATTTAATTATTTATTTACACCGTTTTGTATTTGCTATGGATAAAAAGAGGAAAAAAGAATTACGTAAAGAAGCTAAATAAATTAAAAAATCTACTTGCAGCCACCGATTTTCTTTCTAAGTTATTAATTTTTTTCTTGAATGTAGGGCTTTGTTCCGAATGCCATTTGTAAAACAAAGGGTGTAGAGAAAAACACGAGCAAAAGAAGAATAGCGAATAAATTAAAAGGAAACTTTTCGTCTAGATTGATGTTGTTATTTTTTAGTTGTTAAGAAATAAATGAAAGAAATAATGATAAAAATCGACTAATATCCTTTTTAAGAAAAAAAAAAGTTCTTTATTGACTTTTACATTCTTATTTATTATTTAAGAGAATCTTTCTTCTTCCTTTTCATTTTTTTTCTAGAAGACAAATTTGACAGATGATGGTCTTTTCGTTTTTTTTTTTACAATAACAATGTTTCATTTTTCACTTTTTATTACCTTTGCAGTCTGAATGAATCTTCAGTTGTAGTTGTTGGATTTTCGATTCTGAATAATGTCAAATTTGAACCGCAGCTGATAATGGAAAGAGTGTTAAACTATCGTGTGAAAATATAACAGATAAACGTGTAAAGACAAAATTAGAAAGATAAACTGAAGAATACATGTTCGAAGACCCTTTCTTTTGTTTTGTTTCATAATTTTTTTTCATTCTTGAAACAATTATTTTACATTACACACTGAAAATGTGACTTGTCTGTTCATTTCTGTTCCTGTATTTACTCAATAATATTCATACACCTGATACCTACGGTAAAACACTCAACATTGTTATTCATTTTCATTATTCTTTTATTAAATTCTAAACACAAAAATGGCATTCAGTTCATGTATTTTTTTTCACTTATCAATAGGATTATCTTCATCGATTTTCTTCACATTTTTTTATATTATAAAAAAAATATAAAATTTTATCTACTCAATGGAAACGATTGGGTGAAATCGTATCTCTTTGTACTATCCGAATGCCATTTTCGTCAATTATGTTATATCCCTCTTTTATTTTGCTTACTTTTCATTCTCCTGTAATAATTCTTAATCCTTTATTCTCAATATCAACTCCCAGGCACAGTGTCACGGCTATTTTATTTTATTTTATTCACCATTTTTAACATAATTAATCACGTGAGACTGTCCTCGAGTGAGTGAGATACCTAACTAAAATATAATATTGGTGTATAACTGAATTAATGTCTCTTCTATAGTGGACTCGAGACCACCATATGCAAATTAGCAGCGTAACGTCATCCCGCAACAATTTATTTCCGTTTTAAAAAAAAACAACTGACAAAATAATGCTCTGTCGGATACATTTATCATGGATTTTCTAGAAATCTCATTATTTAATCACATAAAATCAATCGATTTTTATTTACCTCTCATTAAATAACGCAACCGACAGTGGATATCTCATAGAACAAATGAAGTAATTTTTACAATTAAATACAGGGAAGGGTGATGGGAAGGAATATAATTGTTGAGAGTGGCGTTGCGAATGGCCTATATACTTACCTGAGCAGGGTATCAAACCGCTTTTTATCAAGCATACCCGCAATTTCATATTCCTCATTCATATTTTTATTTTATTTTTTTTTATTTTCTTCTTTTCGTTTTATTTGCATATTCACCAACGTAGCAAAGTCTATAAAATCGCCGGCGTTCGAACACAGTTCCAACTGTTGTTTCTCCTACATTTTTTTTTTTCGTTTATTCATTGAACCTTAATAAACGCCATTGTCTAACTCTCACATTGTCAGTCGTCGTTTTCGTCATGTCCCAGTCCCATTTATTTCCAATTTCTTTTCGCCGATTTTTTAATCCCACTCGCTAGTCCTATTATTTACTTAAACCTTTTCGCGTGGCACAGGTGGATCCTGTTCGAGCATCATCTTCCACTCAGTACGAAATTATCGACTATACAAACGCCTGACGCCAATCATTGGCTCTTTATTTCCACTATTCAATCAAACTTTCTACCATTCACCATACCTTTATTTCGTCAAGTCTTTCCTTTTAGTTTTTTCATTAGACTCTCCGTCAATTAGTTACTGTACGTATATATTTTTTTTTATTTGGTCACCAAATTAGTAGCAGCGGGTTGATTTATCCAATGGTGAAGCTCACGCCCGCGGAGGCATTCTGCGAACAGCTTTCTTTATCTTTCTAGTTGTTGGGGTTGTAGCTGCTTGAGGCGTGGCGCTGAAAATAATTAACAATCATTCATTAATCAATTCTATCGCGTTGAGATGAGACAGAATGTTTTTTTTTTATTGGCGAAAAAAAATATAAAACTTACTTGAAAGTAGGTGGTGCATTGCCCCCCGTAAAATTGAAGGACGGTTGAGAAGGAGCATTGAAGCTGAATCCAGAAGCAGCCGCGACGAAATTAAGTCCTCCACAACTCGATGCGGAGGATGGAATACTCGGAGTAGCTGATGGCGGTGCAGCAGGAGTTCCAAAATTGAATCCTGTATTACTCCCAGAGCTCATTGTATCAGAGTTCAGTGTCCCGAAAGAGCTAGCAGGTGAAGGTTGGCTATTAAATATATTTGAGCCAGTGTTTGGAGTCTGGCCAAAACTCAAAGGAGCCTCATTCTTAGGCTGATTGAAGCCAAAAGCTGGGGCCTGCACCGCATTAACTGTCGGTGGAATCGATACAAAGCCTCCGAAGCTATGAGCAACAGGTTGTGGTGTACTTTGTGTCTCAGAAAAGCCAAATGCGGGCTTAGCTCCGCTATTTCCAGAGAAATTGAAACCACCACTAGCCTGAGGCGTTGTTTGTGCTCCAGAAGTCGCCCCAAATGTAAACAATCCTGGAGTAGCCGGTGGGGCAGGCTCCGCTGGTTTTGGAGAAGCAAACATGGGAGCACCTGCCGAGCTGGGAGTACCGAAATTCGGTGCAGTATTCCCAAAGATCGACCCTGCACCAGAAGAAGATGCAAACAATGGAGCTGGTGTAGTGGGTGTTGCAATTACAGATGAAGCTGTATTGGCCACTGGGGGAACCCCAAAACCTGCTCCTGGAGCGTTAAATATGGTCTTCTCCCCACCATTTCCAAAAACTGATGTCTTCTGCTCGATCGTTCCGAAGCTGGGGAGTTTATTCTCCCCGGGAAATGCAGACTTCTCGGAATTATTAATCACTGTACCAAACGTCATCACTGGCTTGTTCTGAGCAGTGGTGTCACCAAAGCGTGGTGACAGCACTGGTGCGGATTCTGATTCGCCAAATGTCATGACTGGCTTCCTAGATGCTTCAGACGTTTCAGATGTTTTTGGAGCTTCCTGTGATGCACTTGGAGTTATTGTTTGGGCCATAGGCACCGACGTTTGTCCGAATGTGAGCACTGGGGCTGATTGTGTCGTCGATACTGGCTGCGTCGAGAATGTGAATAAACTTGTATTTGAAACTGGTACTGTTGTAGCTGAAGTACTCTGAAGGCTCTCTGATGTTAATGTTGCTAGTGGTGCGCCGAAGGAGATCGATTTAACAGGCTCTGGCTTTTCCAACTCCACAACAGGAGTTGGTGTCTGCTCTTTCGGAGTTTCTCCCTTTGTTTCGGCTGGTTTGCTGAAGCTAAATCCAACTTTCGTATCACTGACATTGCTGAAGAGCGTCTGGATCTCTGGTTTTTTATCCTCTGATTTGAAGGGTTCCACGGGTTTTGGAGCTGCGAAGGTGAAGCTCGCTGTCTTAGTTGACTCCTGAGTAGTTGCTGGTATTCCAAACATGGGTTGACTTGGTTGGCTCGTTGGCAATGCAAACACGAATCCATTCGTTGAAGCTTCGGTTTTGGGTTTCTCCTCTGGTTTACTGGTGGTAGGAATGCCAAACTGGAAGGTTGAAGCTGTCGACGAGGGAATTCCGAAGGTGAATTTGGGTGCTGAGTCATTTTTGAGGGAATTACCAGTGGTTTTTGATTTAGATGTGGTTGCCCCAGGCTTCAATGCTCCACACGCGATACATTCTATTACTTCTGATTTATTCTGGATCATGCACGTGTCACAGGACCAGGAGCCAGTGGGAACTTTAAATTTGTCTCCAAATCCAGAAACTGGAGTTGGTATAGTTGGAATTGTTGTTGGTATTGAAGATACTGAAGGTTTCCTGGCTGCTTGAGGATTTGGTGTTGTGCAGCAAACGCACGTGGCTGCGTTCAACTCGTTCCTCACCATACACGAAGGGCATTCCCACGTTTTACTCGTGCTTGTGCGAATTAATGAAGATGATAGAGCGGGTTTTTCCTCAATTTTTTCAGGAACTGGTGCCTTCAGCAGACCTGGTTTCGAAGCGTGACAGCAGGGACATGAGATTTCCTCGCTGCGATTCCTCAGCATGCACCCAGGACACTCCCACGAGTCCTTAGCAGGCTTGAATTTCTCCATGAGATCAGATTTAACCGATTGAATTGGTGTTGCAGTTGGTAATGCTGGTGTCTCCGCTTGCGGTGTCATACAGGACATACAATTGGTCTCTGTTGTTGGATACCTCACTAGACAGCCCTGGCACTCCCATTTGTCACTTGATATCTTCAATTGAGCGCCGAATGGAGTATCGGTCGATCCTGATGGAAGAATATTAGTGGATAGTGAAGAAGTGTTGTTAAAGGTCTCCTTCTTCCTAGGATTTTTGCAGGCAGCACAGTGGTCCTCACTCTGATTGTTCTTAATGAAGCACTCACTGCACTCCCAAATATCGGACGACGATTTTGTGAAGGTACTGAGAACATCGAGAACACTCCCAGTTTTCAATTCTACCTCGTCTTTCTTCTGTTTCTTTTCAGCTTGTTTTGCATCCTTGCGTCTTGGAGCTGTTGATGATCCCGACCACATGAAGTTCGTCGCTGGAGTTGTCTGATTTGATCCAAAACTCAGGCTCACTGAGTTTGAAGCAGTGCTAGGAGTGCTAAGTGTCTGCCATGCTTGATTCACACTCCTATCGCTCGAATCTGGACTCAAGGGCTTGGAAAATGTGAAGCGATTGATTGATGTAACTGGACTAGTGTTATCATTTTGCAATTTAATAGGACTTGAGAATTTGAATGTCTTGCTCGGCGATGAGGACGACTCGAATTCGACTGCTGCTGTCATATTGGTGGTTGAATAATTAGGTTTTGGCAGGGGGATGTCGAAGGTTGGTAGACTGGTGATGGGCAAGGATATACTCGGTAAATTAACCACTTCAGGTGCCTCCTCGAAGTCTGGTTTTTTCTTTCCCTTTGTCCTGAGTTTACCAAAGAACTTTTGACTGTCACTTTCACTCCTCAAGTGGTACTCCGAGGTCTCTTGATTAGTAGAAGCTGGGGTTTGTAGAGGCGGCCCACTGTGAGCTGTGATAATTCTCCTAGCAGCAAGAGTTGTGTCTTGTAATCTCTGTCTTCTCTTTAACTTGAGCATGTCTGGCACTGTTGGCACTGCAAGTTCCCTGGTTAAATGTCTTAATCCCACTCTGGATGTTGGGGGTTGATCAAAAGCCTCATCTCTACCTCTTTTCTTTGCCAGGGAAGAATTGAGGCCTGGTGTCTTCATTGGTATTTTTTTGGCGTCTGATATGGGGGAGGAAAAGTGCTCCAATGCCTCCAAAATTCTCTTGGCGGTTTGACTCATTCCTGATGAGTCAACACTCGGTGCATTTGAGGGTTTTACTTGGACCGATGATCTCCTAGGGACTCTCAATTGGAATTCGCTGGTCCCTGCCAGATTTCTACGATTCTGCCTAATTGCACTTGTGCCAGCAGCATTAGCACCTCCAAATGTTATATTTCCACTGTAGAATGGCGACAACAACACATTTCCAGCCCTCTCCAGAGGGTGGCCTTCATTGTTCACCATAGAGACATTGAAGCTTGGTCTCCTGGAGCTCAAGGATTCCCTTTGAGCTGAGATACTGTCGATGAACAGAGATCGAGGGGATTGCAAATGATTTGTATACGACAATTTATCCTCTACCAGTCCTTTTCGATGAAATTGGCTGAGAACCTCTTGACGAGACGCCTGTGGTATGAGGGAGCTGCAGCCACTCGTGCTCTCCCCAGATTCTGAATTTTCATCTATTCCATTTGCAGTTCCATTATTCTGCTGCTGTCGGACTAAATCTGATTGCAACAAATTCGAGTTCATCATTGTCTTGGAGAAAGCTGGAGTGGAGGCAACAAATGAACGAGTGCCGCTTGGGCCAGCTGTCTCTGAATCTAAAAAATCAACAGTTTCGTCTCGTGGATATTGATCTTTCAAGCTCCTAGTCCTCGGTTGGATTGTGAAGGTTCCTGGGGGATGTGTCACGTCCATTCGAATTCGAGGGCGTTTTGCTGGGGGTTGAATCATTGACTCGCCCACGTCATCAAGACCCTCAGTGTCTTCGTTGGAAAAATCACCGTTGCTCGTCGGAGAGTTGAACCACTTGCTGATCCACAAACGTTGGGGGATGAAATCTGTCATTTTTGTAGCCATTTTCTTTACGAAAGACTGTGAATGAAGAAAAAAAAATATTTTTTTTCCGTTGACGTAGAAAAGGAGTTTGATACTGAAGGAATGACGGAAAGGGGGTTGGGCAGGTGAATATAGATTCAGTGGCGCAGTTGAGCGTGCCGCATGATGGCTTTGAGGTTAGGTAGGCAAAATGTGACCCGTTAAAATCTTGAAAATTGAAGTAAAGAATAACCCAACCTGGCATTGGCGCGGTCTGACATATCCGGATGGAATAATGCTCGTTATATTAATATGTCGATGCTGTGTAGTTACGTAGGGGCGACATACGTCAAATATTTCGTAATAATTCGCAAAGAGGGGTCTTTGTTCGCCAGTGCAAATAAATGATGAGACGATGGAAAATGAATTTCACATAAATATCAGATACGGATGGAATTTGGGGGGTGGAGAGTTTGAGGTAGAGAGATGTTTCGCTCTACGTTTTCCATTCCAAAGAAGATGCTGAGGTTTTGGCGTTTTATCGTCTGGAATTTGTTGGTGATAGAATAGGTGAAAATAATAATGGCACTCACGTTGTTGGGATCGTAGGGTTTTTCTCCGTGGGCCCGCCTTCCGGCCGAGTTGTTGTAACTTCTTTTGGCCATGATACACTTGCTGTGAAGATTCGATTTTAATTTCTTTTCCCAATGCCGACGATCACTCACGTATTTTTTTACTGTACTTTCCTACTGCGATAATCATTCACGCACGCTAGGGTAACGTTTCTAGATATTCGTTTATGCATAACCGGTGATACTTGAATTTTATTAAAAAATATACAATTTACGCGTTACGGTAGGGTCTGCACACGACAGCACAGAGCACGCACCTACCGCATAGGGCAACCTAGGGCAACCTAGGGCCCAATTTATCCAATAGGCGAGTGGTGAGATGTGAAGGGAATTCGGAGGAAAAAATATGGCGGATGAGCGCGGAGTTTGGTGGTTGATGCGTGATGACGAGAGACGGAGCCACTTGGGGGCTGAATTTAGGTGAGAGTAAGTGTCAAAGCCAAAGAGAATTGACTAAAGTAGAGCCTCAGTTCTGGGGGATTGAGTGACCCCAGTGGCATCGTAGTACTCCACCCCAAGAGAGGGAAGTCGCCACACACAATGCTGGGGTGTCTACCCGTCAACCGACTCGCTAACTGCCTCAGTATATATAAGTGCAAATTAATTTTCTCTTCACTCTCGGCTGATCTATGCTTTTTTTAGGGAGGATTTTTTAGAAACTCTGGGGTTTCAATTAAAAGTTTAATAATTATACATCCTTTTTTGAAATTACCAGTAGAACTACACTATCTCAATGAATCTTGCAGATCCCTATAAGAAATCCCCGGTAAAAGTCAAAGTAAATGATTCCAAGAAAAGAGAAGGCTCGTTGAAAACGTGACAATTAATCGAAAGACCTTTCTAACTCGACTTGTCGTCAACTGTGTCATCACGGAGTATCCTGTTTACCGGCTAAACGTTTTTGGAGTTCTGACCCAGGGATCACCGTGAATCATCGAGATGACTTGATCAGATCCTGGGTTCGCCCGAAAAACTTTCTATCCACATGACGTACATCATTCCATTCCCAAAGGAGTCCAACAATATTCCATCTCCTAAATACCGCCTGTAACCTAATGACAACATAAAAAACACCTCTGAACAATCGTTGTGATTTGCCATGGGATTTAGTACCGTTAAATTTCAAGTATATGACGAAGTGGCATATCTGTTCCTCCATATTCGTACTGAGCAAAAAGGAAGGCACGTAGAATTTATGAAGGTAGTTTTATGAATGTGGCACGCGAGTGCTTTGCATTGTTAAATTGAGTGAATTGACTCCGCAGGTGAATCTAACAGTTTCCTCAATTTTTTTCCAATCGGGAATACCCACACGAATTCAAACGCAGTTGCTCTCATTTCAAGAAAAATTCATGTAAAAAATGTGACAATTTTTCTGAACTGCACATCGCGTGCGACATGAATCACGGAAGTAATTTACCAAACGGTCATCGTTCAAAACTGTTATCCCCATCGAAGACTGATTAAAACCTCTGATCGACGAGTCTTTAGCATCCCCCTGATACAAACGAGACTAAAAAAATAAAGTACCACAAAAAATAACACAAAGTGCGAGATGTCAGTTAAAAAAGTAGATAAAGGGAAAGTTGGAATTGTTCTCCAAAGAAGAGACAAATGCACTCGAACTCTGAATAAAAGGAAACTGTTGAGTGGAGAAAGCAGCGTCATTTGAACAGTCAAATATACCATTAAATGAGTTTTTCAACCACAAGAAAAAAGCCATAAAAAGCGACGAAAATTGGGCAAGATAATGCTATCCAATTACCCGCGGTAGAATAAACAAAAATTAGCGCGTTAATATACGATAGTGAGAGAGGGTTTAGCTGGAATTTTGACGAGTGAACCGTGAATGTACATAATGCCAACACTCTCCAGGTGGTTGTGGATATACTTGTAGCTCTTCGTGCATGGCCTGAATTCCAGTGTGCCTACTTCTGGTTGCTTCTGGCTGGTACCATTCGAAGCAACTACCAAGGAAATACACCGAGAGAACGATGACGCGGCGCCTCTCCACATCCTCTCTTTTTTTCTCAATTCTCCTACTACCTCCAACCAACCAACAACATTTCTTCGTCGTTTATTTCTCTCCTTTCTCAACGGCTATTTGCAACACATTAGTACGAGCAGGAGACCCTCTCGTGCCTTCACTCCAGCAAACTCTACCCCAGTCAACCAGTTGGAAATATAACAGGTGGGGGTTCACAGCTCGAAACCATCCAACGCCTGGAATATGACTTCCTGCCTCAAATCCACGGGCTTCAGTACTCCATCAACGCTCCTTTAACAATCACTTGCCGTTTCAAATTCTACATCAGAGATCAATCTTTACAGCATCTCTCGTCATGTTCGAGAGTAATGTGTTGACAGGCACTTTATTTTGAAGCTGGATTTTATCGAATTTAGTGAACTAGTTGGTGTCAATTCACGAGAGTAATCTGGTATTAGGTTTAAGCGATTTTTAGTGACACGATGAACACACAGGGATTAATTGGCGTTCTCCTCGTCGTCTTCTTAGCAAAAGGTGATTTTTTCATATATAAATAAGGATAGCAAGTACTTCTCTAAGAATTTTAGTCAGAGTAAATTGTATATATGCTCGTTACTGCAAGAGGAAGTGTAACCCCGAGTGATCTTCAGAGTTATAATAATGGACATTCTGATCATTAATACCATGAGAAGGAGAAAATGCCGCAATACCACATGGTGTTGTGGTATAATTGTGCAAGTTGTTGTTTTTTCCTATGTTTAATTGAATATCACGAAATTAGCCCTGAAGACTGCTTATTTATTTTATTGAAAATTTTCAAACCACTTCCATACCCTCCGGATGATTGCTGATTATGATTATGATTAAAACCGGTGGTTGCGAATTTCGAGAGAAATATGATGCGCTTCCTCTGTTGCATTTTGAAATATGCAATTCTACTCCACGAGATAAGAACGTCATGATCAATCTTTAATGATCCTCACACACCGGATGCAATTTCTCTGCGATTGCAAACATTTGTTTCTCCTATTCATGAAAATTAATTATTCTCCGATTCACGCTGAACTTGTTAGCTGCTTAATTGAGTCTTCTCGTGTTTCATTACTTTAAAATGAGGCATGCATTGTTTCCATTCTTTATTTGAAATTCTTTTATGATAGCTCGGTGATGATGGAAGAGAATAGGTGGAAGACAATGTTTTCATTGAAAAAGAAAGCGCAAACTCGACTTGTGGCCAATTTCCCACGATTCCACCACCGGTTTTCTAACGGGAGTAAACACGCTTGCTCGAATTAATCGGGATAGTATCGGTGGCTCGTCCGGTCCCAGGCAATATGTGGGGACCAAGTCGCCTACAACTTTTGTCCTGATTATCCACTTCTTTTTATCTCACTTTTATCTTGTCTTCAATTCTTGGCGCCATTACCCACATTTATTCTGGCCCAGTGCCCACTCCAAATCATACGGGCTTATACTTCGTCATTTCAATTGTTATTTTATTTTCTACCTCCCAGTGTGTATAACTGTTAATTTTGGGAGGCAGGCGACAACCTACTGGCCCACTTCGTTCTACGACCTAACGGCTGACTCGATATCTAATGGCAAAATTTGTCTTATCCATTCGGTACAATCTCAGGCTTTCTCAGCTCTTAACCATTAATTGTATGAGTAATTAGCGGATTACAATGGCTCCAAGGGATTTCATCGGGATCACTGGCTTGGAAATGTCCTGTTTAGGGCTGAAGCCCGCTTTCACTATTATGAAAATCCAAATTCCCCTCCAAAAAACTTGGTGATGAGTAAAATATTTTTGGAAATAATTACTAAATAATTGTGATGATAATAATCATTGGCAATTTCCCTGTAGAATTTTGTCATTAATAATTCCCGGTCGTTTACACGCGCCTATTCACGTGCATTGATAGGTTAATTATAAAATAGTTGGGCGGCAGAAGCCGTTAGGCAGGCACGCACAGTTTACACCTTCCTACTCCTGAAGAATTTTTGCGCAGGTGATTGAAGACACCACTATTCCATTATTCCCTCGCAATTCACCTCTGAACAATGGAAACATCCCGTAGGGATATTAAAATTCCTATTGATCCGACGATACTAAAAAAAATCACGATAATGAGTACTGAATCGATTAATAAAATGGAGGATATGCGCACAGGGGCAGATTTTGATAGACGTCTCACCACCGCGGCTTGTTAATTACTTTGAAAGTTGAATGCTCGGCACGCAGAACGAAACAAACGATCCCTGAATGTACATTAACGGTGAATTTTCCATTAACTCGTTTATCGAGTGATCTACGACGGTCAGATCCTCAAACACGTGGAAAAATTCAATCAACGAAAATTTCAAGAAACTCCAATTCACTATTAAAATACTCGAGAAATTCTTCGGGGAAAAAAAAAGGGAAATTGTGGCAATGACTGCACCACGGATCATTCCCTTTTTTCTTTATTTATCAGCTCATCATGTTCTCCACTATCAGCCATAATCTCGTATATGAAAACTGAAATAGAAATTCACATTGGAATCCATCACCTCCGCCACACCTCGAGCTCTCGCAAGAGTGAGATAAACAATTGCATAGAGGAGAGGATGTTACACCGAGATTTTCCGTTGATAGTACTAATTACATATTATTTCGTATTACAGGGAGTGACTCCTCAGGATGTGGATACCCGGGTGCACCGGCTCACAGTACCATCCGTTTCACCGACGGTGGCCTCGACGAAGTGCTCGATGAAGAGGAGGCCTTGATCAAGGATACAACATTTCCAATTGGTGCTGTTGCCATTTATTCCTGTGAGAGGGGCTTCGAATTGCTCGGTCCAGCGAGACGTCGGTGTCAAAGCGATGGCACCTGGACCCCCGAGGGTGTACCATTCTGCGGTAAGATAACCAATGGAATTTATTCGAATGCCTCGTGAGAGCTAAATCGATGGGGAAGTCGAGGAGAGAGATTGAAGGAAAAGGGAAAAAAAAGTCATGAAACATGTTTAAGATGAAGAGGTTTGATGGTAGGCAAGGTGTTGGTTTGCCATCCGCCTGCCAGCAGGTTCATGTTTAACGGTGTCGTGCCCCCTCCATTGAACTCCCCTCGTCCTCTGGTTCCGTTCTAAAGGCACTGGTGAAGCCGCACCTCGGTCAAGGACACGTAAGAAACGGGTCACCTTCTACTCAACTCTTTTCACAGGAATTTCGTTATTTCTCCCATTTTTTTCTTTCGTGGATTTTTCAATTCCCCGGAGACAGAAATTATCGTAATTACTATTTATGGAGATGTCAATGCACAAATGAGAGTAAATGGTAAGAAATTTATTTAATTATTCAGTTGAAAATATTTCGGGTATGAGGGTAAATGGGTCAACCGAGAAGAGACGGTTTTCAGTCGTCATGCCAGCTGTTATGTCTCTCTTTCAACCTGATAATCAGTTCAGTACCCAATCAATTCCATTCCATTCCACTTCCGATACTTCAACCTGTGATTAGGTACAATATGCAATAAATACTGACTGACATATTGGAATTAAGCGAATAAAGAGGTCAATATTACCCACAATTTTCCGGTGCACATTCAAGTACTTTTTATTGAATTTTATCGTGCAAAAATTGAGTGATCAACATGTTGAATTAGCATAGCACGAGTAAAACTAAAAACACAGGAGATAAATTAGTGCCGGTAGAGTAATTTATTCCTCAATTTATCACCGAGAATGTGAAGCATAAAAAGGCAATGAGTAATTACTGAGTAAAAGTACGAGTGGGACAAAAGGATTAAAGGTGAGTATATTTACCGGTTGTTTTATTAATATAATGTCTTGGAACAAAGTAGGCCCTCGGACGACAAGTGGGTCGTTGGGGCCCCGGATTACGGTGCAAGAGAGCCCCAGTGGAGATGGTGGACGCGCTTCGGCGGTGCCTAGAGCCCAACCAGAGACAATCGACCTAGTGTGATATGCCTGCACACAAACCTCAGAGAATCGCAGGGGGAGAGGAGAAAGATCCTCCTCGAAGCATTGGGAGAAACAGAGCGCGATACAATTTACCTTTTTATGTGTACGCACATTGCATTCAGATAATGCACTCATAAATAACAGTCACGTGCAGATAAATTCCATAATCAATTTATTCGAAAAGCTGATGGCGGAAGATTTAACTGCGATAAAAAAAAAATGCGAAAAATAACGAATATTGAATACCCCTAGTTGAAGATGACTTGGCGGTGAATTTTCCCAGACACGGAAATAGCTTGCCGCAAGGCAATTGAGAAAGGAGGACGTACTGTGTGACGAGTGCGCGTCATCGGCTTGAGTGAAACTCGATTTCCATAGCTTTCTGTACATCGTACAATTGAAATAGCAAAATATCCCGCTGACAGAGGTATCTTCAGGAATTTCAATTGTATTTTTTGTTGTTTCGATGATTGTGTTGTTGTTGCAGTGCTGAACGTGGCAGGTGGAAAGGCACCGATGCAGAGTACAAGTGCTGAAAATGGAATACCACAACGTGCTGTTGATGGTAGCAGTGGACAGGTCTATAGCCCGCAAACGTGTACGTTGACGAGGCCCGAGATGAGACCCTGGTGGTACGTCAATCTACTCGAGCCCTACATGGTACAGCTCGTGAGGCTGGATTTTGGCAAGGCCTGCTGCGGTAAGTTTAAACTTTCTTTGTACACCAATTTATGCGGCACAATTGAAAGTGAGCCTTTGAATTATTCCTGCGATTATTTCTTTTTCGCCTATAGTATTTTCTATTTTCATTGATTTGTTCCTGGGGATCGAAGACTTTCCATAATCAGAGCAAATCGATGGCAATTTTGTCGGTAGAATTTTATGGGCGACGGGGAAAATCGCGGACCGTCACGGGCGTTGTCAAACGAGCCGTGAAATGCCAATGAAATTTAAACTATGATTTTTTTATTCAAATCAAGATGATATTTTTAAGGCTGATGTCCTACTCCAGGGTATACGATAGTTGAAATTGCTATCTTGAAGTGGATTGATGATAAAAATTATGATTATTGATACATTCGAAACTCACCCAGGCGATTCAGAAATTTCACCCAAGGAGAGTGAGAGTCTTTCACTTTGAAATAACTTTCGATTGTTAGAAAATTCATTCGTGATAAATCTTGGAAATGCACAAGTTCTGCATTATTTATCTACGTCGGTAGCTCCTGATGCACATGGTTTTCCACTTCTTTGTGCACAACCGCATTAGGGCATTGGCAATTGACAAACGTAGCTATCTAATCTCGGCTTGTGTTTCTTTCTTGAGTTGGTCACAGGTGAAGTAGTTTGTCGGTCAGCAACTCGCCGCCGCATGAATCGCACGAAAATTGATATTATCTTCCCTTTCTCACCCAACTGGTGAATTTTTTTTAATTTATACACACGAAGAAAAAATGCTCAATATCACACAAATTACTTCTCGATCGGAGGCTATTCTGTATATTAATACGTATATTCAATCTCATTGTCATGAGTTTTTGTAATTTTTTTTGTTATTCATGCCATTGACCTTTGTCCAATTAGATGGGGCACCTGGTACGATTGTTGTCCGAGTTGGAAATAATCGGCCCGATTTGGGGACCAACCCAATTTGTAACAGATTCACTGGACCACTTGAAGAGGGACAACCGCTTTTTTTGCCGTGCAATCCTCCCATGCCCGGTGCATTCGTTTCAGTTCATCTGGAATCCGCTGCCACCACACCAGCACCAGTTCAATTGTCCCTCTGCGAGGCTTTCGTTTATACTGATCAGGTAATTAAAGAATTACTTTTTCGATTGGCCGCCGGCTGTGAAATGAAAATTATTGACAGGATCAATTTCACTCGGGGGTTTTTGCACTCGCAGCGCTCGTCGAGAATTGCCGGGAATTTTCTTTTCCGGCAATTGTGGGGGTAATTAGGGTATTTATGGTCATTATACGAGACGTATTAATTGGATTAGTGACTTTCAACGAATAAAAATTTGAGGCAACTTTCTTCTGCTGATGATGGAAATCATGAGTGGATTGTATGAATTTATTTATTTTTGTTAGAGGAATGAATTTATACTTTTGTGGGAAGTACTTATGCCATTAACTCGTAAATATTCCAAATTAGGAACGAAGTGATGGGCATTAATCATGGCTCATCCAAATTGGCACTTTCATAATTTTATCTTTTTTTTTTACTCGAGGCAATCAACGATTGATTGTGAGAGAAAAGAGAGAGCATACCAGTGGCAAATAATCGATCGCTTGATTCGAATTTTGAAGAATATGGAAATTATTTCTTTTGCTCGCAAGACATGTCCCACGACTCAAAGTAAAAGTAGCAAAGAATGTGCGCGGAAATATCACTATCTCCGATAAATTCAGCGACATTTCCTAAAACTAATCTCGAAGTGAAATTCCCTCATCTCGTTTAACTCCTTTCTTTTATTGCTCACTTTTTTTTACCAAATAATAGAAACTCCGGAAAAAATTGTCGAAGTGGCGAAGTGGCAGCAGCGAAAATTACAGTTATTTAATTACGATTCAGTGGAACTATATTCGGGGCTGGGAGAGAGACAATTTCAGTGTTTTTATTGTGATCGTTACTCTCGTTTTTCCCGATAATTCTCACGATTGTCCGACTTTTTAATTGACATTTAGGCACTTCCAATCGAAAGATGTCCACAATTCAGAGATCAACCGCCGGGTTCCACCGCGACCTATAATGGAAAATGTTACATATTTTACAACCGCCAGCCACTTCAGTTCCGTGAAGCTTTATCATTCTGTCGTGCACGAGGTGGTACACTGGTTGACGAAAGTAACCCAGCACTTCAGGGCTTCATTTCCTGGGAATTATGGAGGCGACACAGGTAAATGAAATGTTTCCCAAAATTCAATTCCAGAGTATACAAATATTGAAAATCCGCAGAAGTGACACATCGAGTCAATATTGGATGGGCGCGGTGAGAGACCCGAAGGATAAAACCGTTTGGAGGTGGACCGGAAGTGGTGATGAGGTGTCAGTATCATTCTGGAGTCTTCCTCACGGGACTGAGGAGGAGTGTGCGAGATATGACGGCAGCAGAGGATGGCTGTGGTCCGAAACTCCGTGCAGCTCTCGACTCAATTACATCTGCCAGCATCGTCAGTATATTTTACAATTATTCAGCATCCTGCTCACTATTTTGATGAAATTGAGAATGGAATAAAAATTTTTTGTTCAGAGCCAAGGGCTTGTGGACGTCCCGAGCAGCCACCAAACTCAACGATGATGGTCACCAATGCACTAGATGATCCAGTCAACAATTATCAAGTTGGTGCGACCGTCTCGTATAGCTGTAATTCAGGAAGTCTGTTGATCGGCCCATCAACACGCACCTGTTTAGACACCGGTTTTTATAATGAATTCCCACCTGTTTGCAAGAGTATTGAGTGTGGATACCCGGCTAGCATTAAACACGGAGAGTACACGCTCATTAATAATACTGTCATTTTTCTGAGTCAAGTACTTTACTCCTGTGAGGATGGTTATGAAATGACTGGTATGTGAATTTTAATTATTGATGCAATTTTCCCCTGTTGTCTGATATTCGTGGTTGAGATGCATTTAATTAGAGAATAGAATACATTTGGGAAATTATTGACTTTAATATTACTTCGGGAGGAGAAAAATAAATTATGGGATTTTTTTTTTAATTTATCACTCCAATTCTCCACATGTAGCCAGTTGATTTTTAAATGTGGATTTACATGATTTTTCTACTGGAATATGTAAATAGGTCGTGCCAGGCTCACCTGTGACATCGACGAGCGTTGGAACGGACCTCCACCTCGCTGTGAACCCATTCGCTGCGATTCTCCTCCAACCGTGTCCCACAGCACGATTCAACTCGATGAAATTGATGTTGAGGAGAATTTAGTGAGAAGTACAAACCGCAGCCTTTTAGTTGGCAGTGTCGTTATTTATACTTGTGAAAAGGGGTATAAATTGACTGGACACAGGCAGATTTTGTGCTTGCCTACTGGATTGTACGATCACGCTGCACCAACATGCACAGGTGCATTCATCCTATTCAATTCTTATTCGAGAATTAATTTTTCATCTCTCATTCCAGTTGAATAACCAAATGATTTTTTTTGCATTCCTGCAGAAGAACCTAAAGTAACATCAGGAATTCTTCCAAAAGTCACTCTGAGACCGATAAGCACCAGAGGCAAGCCTGTTTTTCCGACGAGAATACGTTCGACGACGACGCCATTGCCTCCCTCCACCGTAGACCAAGAATCAAACCCAACCCGAAGATATCCTCATACTCCAGAGGTTCCAGCAACAATAAGGGAGACAATTCACAAGAGACCGTCGATAGCCCTCCAGAAGCCTGCGTCACCCTCTGATGAAGTTTCCGACCAATTCCCAGATACTCATCCCCAGGACAATGAGATCTCTGGCAGCTCAGTGGATAATGCAAGGGCTAAAATCAACACTGGAGTGCCAGAACCCACTGGACCCTTCCGGGTAGATCGCTCAGACGCCCCCACACATCAAGCTAAACTCAATCTCGGTGCTGTCATCGCCCTGGGTGTTTTCGGTGCGTTTGTCTTCCTCGCAGCAGTCATCACAACCGTTGTAATACTCATCCGAAGGTAAGACATCATATTTTATCTCAATCTCAATCTCAATAATGCAACCGGAGGTGAGGAAAAAAGGCGTTTTTTTCTTGCTTCGTAACTTTCCCCATTAACTCCTCGATTTCTCCAATGCTCACTGTAATATCCTTTGACTAAATCATTATTTTTATTCATTCACAAAGAGATTGACTCTCCCACTGCTCCTGTGAATGACACTCAGTGTGAGATATCCTGTAAATTTAGTCATTCAAATGGCCAGATTATTCATTTTATTTGCTTTGTTCCCCTGTTCTTCTACTTATTATTATTATTTTTTTTTAATTTTCGATGAATCAGTTATTCGTCTCGCACTGCTCCTGTAAATGCTAGAGTTATTCCTCGTTTGTCTACATCCGTAGTTTCACTGTGATGTATGAGAATTTTATGGGTACGATGAGTAGAAATCGGAGAAAAATCCATAACGAATAATTTTTATTTGAGTAAACAAGTTCCTCAAAGATTTACGGGACTTTAGGAGAAATGAGGAAATGTTTAAGAACTATTTGTTTATTATGCAGAACACGGGGTGTTAAAAAGAAAATCTGAAAATTTGAATACAATCTTTTAGAATACACGATGAGAACGAATTAATGATAACTTGAATATCCATGCATGACACCACTGTAATAAACGAATGGTGGTCAGTGCGAGCATGTAAATGACAGAAAATAGAGTGAGAATCAGAATGAAAATTAACAAAGGTGAATTTGTAAAAATTACGTGGTGGTTAGCGGCAGCGGAGGCGTAGGAGGACGGCGTAGCCGGAGGGGTATTGGCGGGGTTGCGCTCGGTGGTGGACGTGGTGCAAGTGCTGGAATAGGCAGATCGGATCCATCTGGGATGCCATCGCGTTGGTACACGCTTCTCGCGCTTCCATTTCCCGACCAGCACCTGGGTCGTCGCGACCTAACGGCTCGCCGAGCCACCGACCATCCGTACTCATTCAATCTATCAGCAGCCCACCGTGCCGGTTACTTCTCCAATCCCTCCTTATAACCACCAGATCAAGCCACAATCGATAACTCTTACCAAAAAAGTACAAAAAACAATGTTCAACGAAACGAGACAGACGCTTAGAACCAATGAAATTTGACAAACATATCCCTAACGTTGAAAAACCCCCCCAAAAAAATCCCTCATCTCCTCATCAACGATATCAATCGACGTCTTCACATCACATGTGTATAGAGTCACCCACACGAGTGACCCGCTAGTCAAGGTAAATTCACGTTGACCGATCAATTGGTTGGGCGGTGGTGATGTCACGCACCATTCACATCAGCAAATATAGTATACCACATTAAATGTAGAGTATCATGGTAGAAGTAGCCGGCTGGTATTCTCCTAGACGCCCATACAGCACTGCATTTCATTACCTGTTGCACGCTTTCAGGGGGACGAGCGAAAATTATTTGAGGATATCAAAGTTACACGATTCTCTGCAATAAATAACTCGTGCCATCCAGGCAAGGCCTATAAAAAAAATGGAATTCTCATTTGTGTCTCTAGTTGCAGGGAATCACCCACTAGCATATCCTCAGACAAACGAAAATGTATTCATTGTCTTCCAAGCTTATGATATCTTCATGCCCTTTCTCGAATGATTTTTTTTTTAATTTCTCTTCTAGAACGAGAGGAAGAAGCAAACATTATCGCCATCGAGCCTCTCCCGATTGCAATACAGTAGCTAGCTTTGACAGCAGCTCATCGGAGTCCAGAGGGGGCTTGAATAGATATTACAGGCAGGCTTGGGAGAATTTGCACGAGACAGCTGGCCAAAAGGGCAACCATCCACCATTGAGACGTAAAGAGACCCTAGATGAGCCGAGCTATCGTGACAATTATCGCGGTGAAAATGCTCCGGAGGTTGACGAGAATGCCAATGGTTTTTCGGGAAGCAAACACACAGGGGATAAGAAAAGGCACCATCACCATCACCACCATCACCACAGCAGTGGCAATGAGTGGCGACAATCCCAGTCTCATCACAGATACTGAGGTTCACTTATTACTCGTTTTCCATGACTTGGAACGATGTTGAAGACAATTCATTCGTGTAATAACAATATTACATTATTCTTCCTAATTTTTATATTCTTTTGTAAATAACTGTAATTCGTTTTACGGTTCGTAACGGGCGCCGATCCGTTCGATGGAACATGCCAAAAAGAGAGAGACACACTCTAGATAATATATTATATATACTTGATTATGGTAATTCGATCTATTCGGATTCTTCAACTGATTGACTATTTTTTTAATTCTTGTCCGTTGAATTGGTAATTAATTCGTAATGAACGCCTTGGCCTCACCTTATTGCGAGTCTGAGGGACTCAAGGAATGGCTGACGTTGTTCATTCGTATATGATTTGAAATTATTCGTCATTTAGGTACTGATACTCTATTTTTCTCCTCTCCATGACGACTGAATTTTCGTGAGAATAATTCATTCAGTTACAACTCTTTCAATTCTTTCGACTATTGTTTTATTTTCTCGTAGGAGTGCCATTATTCGGCAGTTTCATCCTGTTTAATTAGGTGTAATTATTCGAATTTACCCCGGGCGTGGAACGAACGTTTGGAGAATCATCTATGTTAACGTATATGTACTCACGTACTCACGTACATAAGATATGTTCCTTGTATCTATTATAAAAAGTGAATAATATACGCAATAATAAATTTCATCAATATTATCATGCTCAGTCTTCATAATTTATTATTATAGTCATTACTTTGCTCTCTGAGAATTAACATGGAGTAATAATATTTACGAAAAACACTTTGGAGTGACATTTATTTTTTAATTCAACCACCGACCGATGATCTTGCCCACTTTTTGCCGGACTGCAATCAATTCTGGAATGTCTTGTTTCGAAGCTGGATACATATTGGCACAATGAGCAGTACCTAGAGCATAATAATTTATGATCAGTGAGAATTACAGCTGCGGGAGATGATGAAAATTTTTTTTTCTCATTTTCAGGCGAGCACAAGAAAATAAGTAATTACCATTGATATAGAATGCTGGGGTTTTTGGATTTGATGATTTTGTAATGCCAAGTGCGTGCCACGGGTCAATAGATCCATGAACATAAACAACATTTGTCACTTCGAGTTGGAGACCGCCGTAAAAAGTATTGGTTCGTTCTATAGCGTTTTCCAAAAGATGAATGTTGTATCGAGGTCCAAAGATATCGGTGCACTGCTGGACGAAGAAATCGACTGGAAAAGTCTCACTAAACAACAATGGTTTGGCAGTTGAAGTCTGGAAGAAGCCAAACTCGGTGCAGGTTTGATAAGTCCACTGGCGTCCTCCCTCTGACATTTCCCCCTTCCACGAAACGTTCGACATCTCGTCCAACATGTTGCTATATTTGTAATCAAAGCACTTGTCACCACTGGCATTGAGCATCATATTGCTGACCTCAGCCAGTCTATCCACAGCGATTCCCCTTTTCTGATCTACCAGAATATCGCAGACAGTGTCAATAGAGATGTTTGAGAACTTGGAGCTGTCTCTATTATCTTTATTGTACTGAACAACTTCAGCAAAATTACTGGCAAGAATCTCGTAAAGATTTGAAATATCATTTTTCTTGGTTTTGGAGGGATCAATCTGAGTGCAAAGTTTAAACTTTTCGCTGAGGTTCATCTGCCCAATCCTGTGCCTCAGCATTACGTGGATTTGGTGTGTGGCATTAGTAATGGCATCGACACATGCCTGCGAATGTGTTTTCAGGGCCTCCTCGACGACGACGTAGTACTGTTGAAAATCCATTTGAGCCAGGAGAGGACCACTAGTGGAGACAGCTCCATGGACCAAATGAGGATATTTGACACGAGCCCAGGCAGCTAGTGAGCCTGGATAAGATCCTCCAAAAACAACCCACTTGGAGTCCCCTGGAATCTGATACTTGTGACGAATCCCCGCGATAAAATAAGCCAAGTCGGCTAGAGCCTGCTCTGAGCTCAAATATACTAGATTTTTCACGCTTAAATCTCTGTAATTTTGGCAATATTTATTTATCATGGGGAGTTGAAACAAGACAATTACTCAATTGTATGGAATTTTTTTGGACTCTCCAAGGATTTTTTCTAATTTCATACGTACGGAGTAGGATGACTTTTTCCATAAAAGCGATGCTCCAACTGAAAGCACATAGCCCCGTACTGTTTAGCGTACTCAATCCATTGACCTTCAACCATCCATTTCGCACTGGCTTTTCCTTCTCCTCCGATCATAAGAAATACTGGACCATCTTTCTTGTAAAATTCTTCATTCACAAAATACCTCTACATAAACATTATAAATGTAAGAGAATAAAATACACAAATAAAATTGAAGTCGATACTGACACAGTTAACGTGAGGTTATACCTGTTGCCACGTTTGCATATTCGTGGGATCAAAATGGTCAAGATTCTGGGTGAACCACATATCCGGAGGTAGCTGATACTTTCTGGATAATTTCGGCTCACCAAATCCATGTTTGCCTCGTCCCCTGAAGAAGCTTCTCCAGGCAAAAGACGATTCACAAACGGCGAGGAGTATCAGTAAAAAGAAGAGTCCGCAGCTCTTCATTATTATTACTGTTTAGTTACTGCCAGCAATTTGAAACGACGCAATAATATATAGAATGCGATTTATCAGGTTCAACGGTCGGACAGTGGTCGTGGAGAGTGATAAACAATTGAAAACAAATGGAGTAAACGAGCGTTAGGGAAGAATGCTATGACATAGAGCGCTTATCGGCTTAGCGATTACAATATTTGAAATGAGTATTATTAGCAGAGGGGGAAAAGTAAGGTATCGCACTGGCACCCAATAGAAAATAATGATATGATGGTTATTATCAGTGGGGTATTGTATTCGAATGAAAAAAATAGCATCTCAAAAAGTCCCTCTGAATTTTACAAACGCAGATACCATCTAGTGGACGAAAATAGTACGCTTAGTCTCGAGTTAGTGGAAAATTCTCGTTCGCCTCTCTAGTTAATTTTCTCGTCCACAGACCTCGTTCCAAGTTCCGAAGAGGTTCGCTCTGCCTTAACAACACTCAAATATATAAAATCCTGAAAAAGAAACGAAAGTGAAACAGTATGTCAGAACTATCAAGTGAATCTCTGAGTGATCAAGACTACTCCTTCAAATGGAGCGATTATCAAAATCATCTGTCGACGGTTGTCAGAGAATTACTAGAGGAGGATTGCATGGTAGATGTAACGCTATGTGTTGCTGGAGAACGCATCCATGCACATCGTATTGTCCTATGCGCCTGCAGTACCTTATTCCAAGTATGTAAACAAAACAATTTTGACACTGGTGAGTTTTTTTTAGATTTCATTTTGACCTCTTCGTGCATTTTACAAGGAAATTCTGAGTGAAACAATGGAAGATCATCCTATCATAATTATCAGTGACATATCAGCAAATGATGTCAGATCTATTGTGGAGTTCTCGTATCATGGAGAAGTTAGAATACCTGTGGAGAATATTTCTAATTTATTGGAGGCTGCACAGCTATTGAGAATAAATGGATTAATGGAGGTAATTATTTGTGTTGCTGAATAATAAATTTCTGTAATGATTCCTTTTTAATGAAGCCGTTCTTCACCTTCATTTTGAGATTGAAGGACTCGATGAGCATGAACCTATTGTCAGCAAGGAGCTAACAGAGGAAATTAGTAATCTGGAAAATTCATCAGATAACGATGGGCGAGAGATGTTGAATGCAATTGAAGGAGACAGTGAATTACACGAGGACGTTGACCTCGATGACGATAATTCCATTGAGAGAAAGAGGAGAGGAAAGAAAAAGAGGGATTACCCGAAGAAGGAGTACAGCGAAGTCATGCTGGAGACAGCTATAAGTGACTTAAAGAATGGAAAAACTTTGATTGAAGCTTCTATGAGCAATAATATTCCGAGGTCGACACTCTACATGAGAGCCAAGGCACTTGGCATTCAGTTGCATGCAGCGAGAAATGAATATCCCATCGAATGTATGAAATCTGCCATCGAGACGGTTCTCAGTATGAATTATTCAATATTTATCGCAGGGAGAAACAATTCAACTTTTAATTGATTTATTTATTCATCATTGTTTTCTTTTAATAGATGGTGCAAGTTTGCAACATGCCTCTGAAATGTACGGTATACCAAAGACTGTTCTTTGGAGGCGTATACAGAAAGAAGGATATCAAATAGTTAGACCGGACATGAGGAGAGCATACGCCTCTGAAAAACGAGTTGCTGCTGTTAAAGCACTTGAGAGAGGTGAAAATCTTACAAAAGTCTCCAATGAGTTCAAAGTAAATATTAATTCTTAATTTCATAGAGAAATTCAGACAAGACTGTCGTGGGCTTAATTCATTTTTTGATTTTATAATGGTTGTGTCTTTCAGATACCGAAAACAACATTATTCAGAGACAAAGTAAAACTAGTGGATGAGGGAAAATTACCAGAATCGTTCTGGAAGCGACGAAAAACTGAAGATGAGGACTTGAAGAAAAGTAGACTCGAGAAAGCAGTTGCAGCTTGCAAAGGTGGTAAAATGTCGCAAGCTGCAGCAGCCACACTCTATGGAATTCCCAAAACCACGATTTGGAGGAAGTTACAACAGAAAAATAGGAAGAATGAGGATTGCTCCAGCTCCAGAGTTGCAAAGAAACAGAAAAAGAATGACAATACTTCTGAAATAAAGTCTGAAATGGCAGATGAGGACTTTTCTCTCTGTGAAGTGAGTAAATTGTCTATAGTTTCAATATTACTTTTATCGATACACTAGATTCTAATATAGTACTAAAAAACACGAATAATAGATGGGTTCGTGAAAAATAAAATATTTTGGTAATCCAAGACTCATTGAATGATTTTTAGGTGAGCTCAGAGATCCCTATAACGTACATCGACGAAGACAGCATTCCCCAGGATTCTGTAATAATTCTAACAACAGAAGATGTCGACAGTCTCAACTTGGAGGACAATCGTCAAATAATTGTCAACGCAGTGAGTTCAATTAAACATTTATTGCATCCACAACTTCAATCACTGATTCTCAGATCCGCAGTTTAATGCACTGGAGCAAAATGTGAGTAATAATACTAAAATCATTAAATTTATTACAGGATTCTGGTCAGGAGTTTGTTCCCTGTACAATAAGCATAGAGGAGACAAAGTATTGTCCAGCTGAAAGTTAAAAAGCATTCGGGAACGACTTTCAGCTATTGACATATGCATAAAAGCGAATGAAATATATTGTGATTTTGAAAATTTAATATTTTATTGAAATAGACTTATTGTAAAGAAAGTTTTAAATAAATGAAGTATTTAAGTGAGTGTTGCACTAATTAAGACAACTGTCCACAATCGGCAATGACGATTTTCTTGGACGTTGGGCCATTTTGAGAGCCAAGACTCTCAAGCTGCTTCACCACGTCCATACCCTCGACGACAGATCCAAAGACAACGTGAGCATTATCCAACCACGCTGTCTTGACAGTTGTTATGAAGAATTGTGATCCATTGGTGTTCTTACCGGCGTTGGCCATCGAGAGGATTCCAGGGGCTGTGTGCTTCAGCTGGAAGTTCTCGTCATCGAAGCACCTTCCGTAGATGGATTTTCCACCCTTGCCATTGCCATTGGTGAAGTCACCTCCCTGGCACATGAAGTTTGGGATTACTCTGTGGAATGTTGAGCCTTTGTAGCCAAAACCCTTCTCCCCAGTGCACAGTGCACGAAAGTTCTCAGCTGTTTTTGGCACAACGTCGGAACGTAATTCGATGACGATACGACCCACCGGTTGACCATCCGCCGTCATGTCGAAAAACACTCGGGGCAGACCCATTTTTCTACCTTTGAATATTGCTTGTCATTTTTATTGTCTCGATTATAATTAGGATGGTGTTACGTATTTTAAAATTGTGGCACCCCTTACCTCTACGTTTTAATTTACTCCAAAATCCAAACGTCCTGAACGTCTAATACTGAGATCTGGCGTTTTGGCGTCGCTTCTCGGATGTGAACTCCTTGAAGCAATTGATTTATTGTTATCATTATTTTCAGATAACAGCACTATTACGGCGGGAATTTGAAGCCATTTTTTGTGCTGCCGTCTACCATCCCATACGTGAACCCCGACCTCGTGAAAATCCCCATTTGTTTACTGAAATTTAGTCGACTGCAGAACGAGCAGAAGGGGGAAGCCACATCTTGTGAAATATTAAATGAAAAAAATTATTTAATATATTGAAGATATACTACTAATGAAATTTTATATTCATAATGAGCGCGTGGTCTACTCGGTAGCGTGCTTGCCTACCACGCCGACGGCTGGGGTTCGATCCTAGCACCATTCATTTTTTTTATTATCTAAATAATTCCAATTTTTTCTTTTGTAGATCACTAATCAATCGAAATATTGTTTAAAAACTGAATAGCTCCTCGCCGTCCATGTTCCCCTAATACTTTTTCAAAAATTTCGAACAATTTTAAATTTCAAATTTTAAAATTTTGAATTTTCCCGCCTCAGTGAAATACTTGCTGTCGGTAATGCAGGTTCCTGAAATACCAACAGCGGGCAATGTTGATTGCTGGTATGTCGGCAAACAGTGAAAAGATCGAGTAGTAAAGTTTCGAGTAAAAAAGTATAAGTACAGAAATTGAAAAATTCGAAATTTTTCGAAACAGGATCAGGGGAACATGACAATCGAGGAGCTATTCACTGAAATTTTCACTGAGTGTGAAAAATTCGAAATTTTTGAAAAAGTATCAGGG